TCTGCCCTGGAGTGGGGCTATCTGCCCTGGAGTGGGGCTTTCTGCCCTGGAGTGGTGCTCTCCGCCCCGGTGTGGTCTCCACTTTGGTGGCCCCATTCTGTAGCCCATCAGCCATTGAGAAATCTTGAGTTTTTTTTCAAGACACCCAATTTTGTACAAGAAACCATAATTCAGTCAAGTTCCTTCAACTGTTCTGACATGGGGCCGCATTGAACCAGTCTTCAGAGGCTCCCATAAATTCCAATTAAAGAAAAAAAAAAGACGGCGGTGACCACCCACCAAATACCAATGACCAAAACCAATTCTGAGTTCTGACACCAATCAGACCCTGCTTTGAGTATCGTTTAAATGGTGGTCTGAGTCTACATACCGGTAGTGATAATGGCGGTGTATGTCATGATGTTGATGACTCAAGCCTTGAAGCCCTTGATCTTTGAAATTAAATTTTGCATGCATATTTTTTAGCTAAATGAAATTGTGAGTGTTATGACAAGGACTGTAAGAGATGGCAAACTTGCTAAAAGAGCCAATTTATCTATTTTTTTCTGATGATCATTTTAGATTAAAATTGAAAATTCCTCCTTTTTCAATTCCAATCTGGAATCTTATGTAGAATTTTCCATAAATGATAAGTTGAAAAGATCATTTTACAGGTCTACTGTGCAGAGAGTGGATGAATATTTCAAGATCTTTGGCGATGCTTCAGTAGCCAAATTTTCGCCTTCAGAAGATCTTGCCAACACAGATTGAAATTATTGCATTTAATATATTTCTCAGTCTTCGGCCAACTATTTAGAAAAAAAGTACGGTTTCCGGTATGTTGGATGGATTACGATGCAGCGAAGCTTGTCCAGAAATCAGTTGTGATGAGTTCCCGCAAAAAAATGTAAACAACGTTTTTCGATTGCATAGTTTCGGTCACATTAGAGCGGTCAGACTGCTTTATTACATGTTCAGTTGATACTTGCTGTACAATCGGACTGTTTTCAGGGTAAAATTAGTTTGTGGCTTGTAAATAGTTCATCATTACTCAGCGTAAATGGCTTTTCATTAAAAATTACCCGGCGACGCATCTTAAAAATGGTCGGCGATGCTTTGGGCTTAGAAACCCATATATTGGCGACGCTGCTTCCATCTTCTGCGCCCTGGTAATACAGGTGATGATGATGATGGCTGATGGGTAAGCTTTAAACTGACCAATAGTAATAACGCTTTGAAAAATAATGACTGCCACTATGCTTATCTGGCATCTATCTATCTTATGCTTAAATTGACTGTTTTTCTTGATTTTCTGTGGAGAAATTAGGAAAGGGTCATATAAATGGGTCAAAGTGGCCAGATTCATAGCATATTTGTCTGATTTATGTGAATAAAAATGTAAAAACCAAATGAACAATGAACTAACATCCAAATTCCAAGACAAGTGTTATGACAATTTATTACCAAAACCAGATGACTAGAGGCTTTATGACTGATGACAGAATCTTCAAATCAATTGTACTGAATTATGTTCAATTGATTCAAATCAATTGTACTCTAGACTCTAGTACTCTACAAGACTGATGATGCTCAAAATAGCCAAGGTTCTCATCAAGCACAAGTCTCCAGCCATACATTTACAAATTACCTGATTTGTAAGGAAGTTGAAACTGTTCTTGTAATTCAAGCTTTAATTTTCAATCTGTAGCCATAATACATTAATACCCTAGGTTTGTACTAGGGTAAACACCATATTCCAACACCTTAGGGACATAGCAAGAAATAAATGGCTATAAATAGATCACCATATGCGCAACTCGAGTTCTGATTGGTTTACGTCACTCTCAAAAATCCACACTATGCGCCACGCCAGCAATGATGAAACGTCACAAACTGTTGCCATATTTATTTAAAAGCCTTTAGAATTCAAATCTACAAAATTGCTGAATACCAACACTGTGTGTGACTAAATGCAGCATATTGAGACTAATTCTGACAGCACTTCAAAATCGTAATTCGCAATTCTGACACCCTGTGTTGGAATTCCGACACCCTGTGTCGGAATATGACACCCTGTGTATCACAATTCTGACACCCTGTGTTGGAATTAGTTTTTATGTGTCTAAAACTGGGTCTTGAATCAATCATCCATTAATTTATTTACCACTTAAAATCAGCAAATAATAGTATACTTAAAGGATTCCTACCTAATATATTCACAGACTTATTTAAAAGTCTCAAACCATAATATTCTTTCTACACAAACAGTTTATCACTATTTTGTAAAGCAAGGTCAACTATCAACTTTCATGTACGTATCTCGATGTTCTCACTAGCTGACTTGGACTTTCGCTCTGCGGATCTTAACATTTTCTGCTAGACCTAGTGTTTTGTGGAAATCTTGCGCGCAATAGTATGATGTCACTATTTCAACCATCTACGCATGCGCGGAACTAAGACCAAGCTTAATATAAAGGAAAAGTTGAGGGGTGTCGGAATTACCCACAGTATCAGAATATGGTGCGTTTACCCTAATGTCATTTCAAAATTTCAAATTCAAGTGTTGCAAAACTCTTCCCCTACTTGATAATGAATGTAGCTATATTCAAAACATGTAAATTATAATATAATGTCCCTTGCTAATCTTATATTTGAATTTTCAAATCTTATCAAATGCCTAATTTGCTGTGTAGAGAAAAATGTAAAAAAATTGTCAATAAAGAATACTATGGTCTCCAATGAAACCTGCGTGACATTGTGTATATTATTCAGATTTTGATTACAGAGGGCTCCAGCATTTGACCTTAAGTGCATCCTAAGAATTCTTAAGCAGCCGTGGTATTGGTCCCAACACAGCACGCTCTTGCAACACACTATTGCTGCATCAGTTGGTTTCTTGCTTGATGCTCCAAGAATACTGCATTGAAAGTTCCCCACAAATTGTTTCTTGGGGAGAATTATTTCCATGAAGAACTTATTATTGGATGTCAGACCTACAGGCACTTTCGTTGAGAGAGGAATTTTCCTGAAAGTTTTGGTATATCCCAAACTTGTATATCAACTTTGCTTGATTCTTTAACTGTTAACTTTTTCCATATCTTGTCATGGTATAATATAATGTATATTTCATTTGTAGATTTTAGGACTAGCTCTGGCTAACCTTCATCCTGAAAAGCTCATTCTCTTACTAATATATTGAGAATATATTCTGAAATTTTTAAGTGAAACATTATCATAAATCAGCAATGTCTGGGAAAGTAACAGTACAGCAGCGATCTACTGCCAATTCTGTGGCCACTATTGCCCTTGATGTTAATGAGAAAATATTGAAGTCCTGCCATGAACTCTACACACAGAAGGACTCAGGTCAGCAGTTGTGCTCATTTTGCTGTGCTCTACCTACTATATTATTAATGTTATGATAGATCATTGGATTGCTGTATTATATTCATTTTACTATTACTGTCAACTGACCACCAATTTAAATCATTTTTTTTAAACAATCATGCTTTTTATTCATTTTTAAGACTATTTGCATTGTTGAATACCTGCAGTGCATATTTTATCTATTTAAAACAGGAATTATATTTCAGGCCTTATAGCCATCGGCACTTCCCTGGGTCTTCCATTGCTACCTCCTCGCAAGAAGATCACTGTCATGCTCATGGGGAATCATTCTGCCGGCAAGTCTGCCTTCATAAATTGGTGAGCCTATTTATGAATATTGTTTAAAGTAGAGTTTTCTCAAAATTACAGAGTTTGTAAGGCATAAATGAGTAATTTGGCTCATTTTTATCAACCCTCTCCCACTGAAACCAATGGGTAAATTTCCAGTTCCTTACTTATGGTTATTATGGGTAAAGCATGTTAACCCTCCCACTCTCTAAACAAACATTGGAAACTTGAAAGCAAATGAAATTCCACAAAAATTCATACTATCTTTATAGAAATTTTTTCAGAGTCAAAACTGTTGATGGAGCTGGACTCCAAAATGTTTTCTATGAAGATAGTATGAATTTTTGTGGAATTTTATTCCCTTTCAAGTTTCTAATGAACTTGCAATTCAAGTAAACATGTGACATTATTAGTACTAAACAAACATGTCAGCTACCTACCTTACCTGTGGCAATTATTTGTCATGCTTGTCATCCCCCAACTCTGTAACAAACATGTCAGCTATCTTACCTGTGGCACTTGTTTGTAATGCCCTCAACTCCTAAGGCTAAGGTTTTTGTGATGATTTGAGTGATAGTAATCACTCAATCACTTGTAGTATTTGAGTGATAGTAATCACTCAATCACTTGTAGTATTTGAGTGATAGTAATCACTCAATCACATGTTATATGCTCAAGCATGTAAAATTTTTAAATGTGCTTTGTACGGCTTGGAACTAGGAAAGACTGTCACCCACTGATGTAGACCTTTCATATCTGCCACCATAAGTGTGATTGCATGTATGGAAATTTTAATTTTACTGCATGTGGCAATCTGCAGGTGAGAATGATCAGTGATATATTGTGGGTTTATAGTACAAAGTTTAAAATAATTTTCAAAGGTCACCTTGTTGATTACTAATCCTCTCTTTATGACGTGAAGGCTGTCATGTTGTAGATAAGTGTAAAATAGTTGCTTAGTATCCGTTGTAAATGTGATGAGTTCCAATTTAAAACCAAATCATATACATACGGTATTCTTTTTGATCTGTAACCTGATTTGTTGATTGTAAAGTAGGAACTAGGAAGAAATTATTGCAATATTTGAAACAAATCCTAAATTGAGATTACAGACATTTTTGTATTATTGTTGAAAAATATATTTAAATTGACTGAATAGGACAAATTTGTTGTAGAAGTTTCCATTGTGTATGATTTGAACTTCTATTTATCACACTGTCACCAGGAATTTGTCCTCGCTACATACGAGAACAAAGGGGATGGACATATAAAAAATGACTGATAATAGTGGCATGATCACCCTCGTTCACAACACGAATCTGTGCACTCAGGTACATTGAGGAGCACGTACAGAAGACGGGCGTGGCTATTGAAACTCAGGGCTTCTCGTTCGTGACCAGCGGCAGGAAGAGGGAGTCTCTGACGGTGAGTGTAGCCCCTGACGTGTGGCAGCTGGTGCAGGAAGAGGGAGTCTCTGATGGTGAGTGTAGCTCCTGACGCGTGGCAGTTGGTGCAGGAAGAGGGAGTCTCTGACGGTGAGTGTAGCTCCTGACGCGTGGCAGTTGGTGCTGGGTGAAGGATATCTATATTGAACACACAATTCCATGTATTTTTTTTAATTGGGTTGAGCAAATTTCAGAAGCAATCTTGCAAAATATATTTATAAATAATTTTAGTTCTTTCAAATCTGGTCCATTTGAGTGCAATGAAGAAATGGTGTCACTCTGATATTTTCAGAAGGCAAGTTCATTAATTGCAACTGCGGTCACGAAGAAAGTTGAACAGTTGATGCTGCCCAAATCTGTAGTGCCCAAAATTTTCAAATTCAATATTTCCCACTCGTAGTGTCTCTTGCAAATGCACTGCTTCATGTGAAATAATTTTAGACTACATGTAATTCTTGTACAATAATTTTTGTGTGTATTTTCATCATGCAATCAACGACCATTCATGGTACGAGAATATAGGTAATTACATTAAAATAAAGAAATACGTGGACCACTGTCAAGCAACTCTCATCAAGTCTGTGAAGTAACACCCGTTTAGTAGTTCAAAATTATAACGGTCTATGAAACACACGACTTTTGTAGGTTGGGAACTGTTTGCATTTGTGAGAATAGGTTTCCCCCAACCTAATTGTATTTATCAATAGTGGTTCATTCTAAATCGCTGCTGCAAAACCGGGAGATTGATTTATTTCAACTGCTGCTTTTGTTTGTTTTTGAACAAACAGATAAAACGTCTGACTATTTTTTAAAAGCCCGCAATCTTATTCCGATGTTACTCATTATGCTATTATTTAACCATACCATCTTATCTTGATATTATTTTGATGCAATGCATTATGCTACATCGTTTAATATGTATTGAGACCTATTTTATGTTACCCTTTTGCGACTTCTGTTTACAAATTTATGCTCTAATTTACATGCTGTTCATTATTCGTTTTTAATTATATAGCAATATAACTATGCCATGGATTAAAAAATGTAACAATATCAAACATTCTAAACTAAAAGTAAGCATTGACAAGTAATAGATTTATTCGCCGTACTATGTGCCACAATTTGCACCCAATTTCATCCAACTTGATGTCATTTGCATTAATTCTGAATTGGTCAATTTTACTATTGTTCATTCACTTCTGAACGTTTATCGATCAAGTTTATTTTATTTGCAGGGGAACGCAACGCTTCATCTGTATCCTCACTTCCAGCCGCTGCAGCAAATTGAAGGTGAGATCATACCGTGCTCTGGTGACGTTGTTTTTGTTGCAGTTGTTGATGCTATTGTTTTTACTATTGTTGTTGTTGTTGTTGTTATTGTTGTCGTTGCAATCGTTGTTGCTGGTGTTGTTGTAGTTTCATAGCGTCGGCACGTTAAGGGGACCGACCTAGCTAAAATTTGAAAATTTTGAGTTTTTCTGTTTCTTATCTCATCTTAAAGGTTGTTTTCTTGCGCATCGAACGATATAAGTATCGTCCCTGTGCGTCGAAAAATGACTTTGTGACAGCTCCTCAAAGGAAGGTGGGTTTTAGGTCCCTTAACAAAACTCTACGAGGATAAATAACGCGCTGGTCACTCCACAAAGGAAGGCCTGGCATTAAGCAGCCAATCAAGATGATATTTGTGGGAGGAGATAGATTTTCTGAAGTACCCCTTTTTAGCCGTTTTCTATGAATTTCACGTTTTCTATCAATTTTTTCGAAAAATTCATAGGGGCAAAATGTTCTTATTTTTACATTTTACGTATGTATGTGAAGTTTCATGATGATCGGATAATAACTGTAGAAGTTTCTCCGGAGCTAGGTCGGTCCCCTTAAAATCTTACTCCTGTCTTGACGCGTTTATTGACGTACACGTACGCACATTTTATGAGGGTTTAACATTTCTGAGGACAAATACTCATAAATTGTATTGAGGCATCAATGCTTTAAATCTTGTAATTATGGATTGATCCGTCAATGAGCGTATTTGGATGCGATTCTGACTTGATTGATTACAGCTTATATCTTTTCTAAAGGATATTGAGAGACATTGTTATGGCAAGAATTTTTTTAGTTGCAGTAGTCAACATGGTGTAATGAACAAATTGTAATGTTTCGAAATAGAAAATATCGGCACCACAGTGTTCTATCTGTACTCTTAGTGATTAAAGATTCCTTATGACGACAAGTTTTTTCTTATGACGATTTTTTGGATTTTAAAATCGGCGGTCCCGAACCTAACTCCTAGGCCAGCCCAGATCGGAGCAAAACGTGGGCCGGAGAACTGAATAAAGAACAATTGGCTAGCGTGACACCGTTAGTTTTGCTCTATAAATACAGCTACCTAGGTTTTGTTTGCTAATGCATGGATTTGTAATGAACCTTCGACTTGAGAGTTTTAGTTAAAATACCAAGTGCCATCAGTGCAGAGATGAGGCCTTGAAATTAGTTTCACTTCAGAGCAATTTTACATTTGACGAGAAAAGGATAAAAATTTGGGACGTCGGGTTGATAATTCCGGTTAAAATAGAAAGACTCCAGCATAAGCTCTTGCCGCTCTTCAGCCTTTTCATATGAAGGTACAAATTTGAAGCTGTATGCCCCATATGCCATCAGCGGTAACAGTTGCTGATTATTGGGTTGATATAACTACACGTGGCTTACAGAAAGTAACGCTCTGCAAATATTATTTTTCTACTCTCAAAAAATTTTGTCAAATTTATCTGCCATGAATTGAGCTATGGTTTTCAACGCACATTCTTTTCTGATTAGTGTTCTATTGAAATTTTCATGGGTCATGCATAAGTTAAAATTCTGAATAATATTCATTACCCAATAAGTTGTTCCGGACAAGTTTTTGTTCAACATAATGAGGATTTCTTGTGCCTCTTCAGTTTTTATTTGAGGTGAAGGATGAACGCGGCATGGGGATTATTTTATAATAATCAAATTGTAATGAATGTTTCTGTTGACGCTCCCAGTTTGACAGTTCAAATATTTCAGTTGATAGATAGATGTTAACCGAACTTGATAGACTGGCGACAAGTAAAGGCAAAGGCAAGACCAACACCACCCATAAAAATATATTTTAAAATAAAACCATCACTCAGAGATCATGATGATATATGATGGTTTTCAATCAACTTGAAATGGTTTCAATCATAAATTATGGTTTTCTATCAACTATCAACGATCTTCGCTTCTGCAAAGGATAGTTGGCTTCGAATTTGACGTTGGGTTTCAAAGAAAGTATGGGTTCAAAGTTAATACCAAATAATATTTAGAAAGTGAAAAACGAACTATAAAGGATATAATTTACGGGACAAATTTAGAACAACTAAATATATTTTTAAGAATTGTATAATAAACAATATCACACAAATATATAATAGTGCCTAATTAACAAAATTTGTTGAAACGATGTAGGTTAGAAAGACATTCGTAAGTTCAGTCTATAGACGAAAACTGTCAGTCATTATTTAACATTCGAGTCAGTCTGTCTAATAGACGTCCCTTGAATTGCTTCAAATTGTGACTCTGTTGTTACGGTCTTGAATTATTTTTACTGATATATTATCTGGTGATTCGATTAAAGGTAATACAACCGCATGATCAGTTACCACTCTGTTCAACACCTGTTGATCTTGGGGCTAGTTCCAAGCCATTTCTTATTGGCCGTCGGTATTCTCACTGACGGACGCGTTGGTCATCACAGAATTTAAAGCCCAAATTTTGGTGCTGGCTGTGAGTTGCCACTTGGGTGGCAGAGAGTAACCTCTGAGGCGGCAGTGAGTGGCCACTGAAGCAGCAGTGAGTGGCCTTAGGAGCGGCAGTGAGTGGCCACTAGCCAATGCCCTTCACTGGGCAGCTCGCTATTAATGCACGCGATAGAAGCCCAGTGGAGGGGCTTGGCCGTGGCCCTGTACGTCTGCCGCTGGAGGCCGTGCTGGGTCCGCGAGGCGTCAGGATGTAACGGACTTGGACTTCTTCTTAATGCGCAATAACTATATTAAAATTGAAACTTTAATGATATTTATTAATTTATCTAAATATGCGAAATATGAATATATAATACAGGCCTTATTTACAGTGTACAATGTAATTAACTTTGACTTCTATCACAATTTTCGCTGATACCGAAATTAACATGCTCGGGAAACATGAGTTCTGACAGGCCAGCAAGTTCTCCGTGTACGAGTTTTTCTTACCAGGCTTTACTGCGCGGGATTTGTTTCTTCTTCGTAGCTCATAAATCTGTTCTCATTATTTCTTGGGCTCACATGCACCCAACTAAGTCCCACTTCTCCTGCGGGACCGCAAATAATTTTTCTACCAATGCTGGTAGATCAAAGATTTTATTTACCCCTTTTTTGGCTCGCTCTTTAAAACAGCCATAGAACAGCCAGCTCTCATAATCGCCATTTCTTTTATTGATTACATCAGCTGATGATGGCTTAAGGTTAGAAATATCGTTAATTACAACCCATATAATTTTTTAGTTTGTCAACATCACTTGAATAATCCATATTTGCTTCCAATTTCCTAGTAAGTAACGCAATATGAAAGAAACGAACTTTTATTAATTGATGATGTGCTACAAATTACATCAACGACCCTGTAAGTATATGCAGCTGCATAAATCAATGCCATTGTCACAAAATCGCATTAAATAAACTCGACCTGGAGTGTCAAGTGAAAGAAACATAGAATTAAATTAATTATCATATCATAATCCATTGGATTGACTAGATTCCATTTAATGAAGAAAATATTAATGTAGCAGTTATGGGCTTATCAAAGACTAAAATGTTTTCAACCTTGAATATAATAAATTAGTCACTATGTGAATTACACACTACCATGAAGACAATCTTTAAAGGAACTATTACCATCAAGCTCATGGCGAGGATGAATATGAAACGAATAGTTAAGGTGGTAAGAAAGAGCACATAAACACAAAACTACCAGTCACAAAGTAAGGGAAAAACGAGAAAGGAAGGTAACTGTCGACCAAAGGCAGAACAAAATATATATCAGTAGTTATTGTACAACAAATTTTCAGTAATGTCTCTATGTGAAGGAAAGAGATACGCAAAATAAAATTGAGTATGGAAAGTGTTATTAACCTCGTAATAATGTCCAGTAGAGTAAAGAGGTGTGGGAATGAGCTTCGTAGAACATAATCAAGAATAGACGCTCTAATTAATAACATAATTAACTATGTTACATGAAAGCTAAATAAGTTTTGTTACCATAAGTATTTTCTTGTGCTAGAAACTTGAATTAAAACAATAATGCCCAGATGAAGAAAAATCGAAAAATATTAGGTATTTAAAAAATACAATTGAAAATTTGTGCTCAAACAAAATTCAACATAATGCGGATGTAGAGCTAAATATTAATACCAGCGCAGTAATAAATGTGTGTACTATGAAAGCACCCTTTATGCAGGAATTGAGAACGATAACTGACTTTGAACTCTAGCAGAATCGGCAGAATCATGTACGCTGGAGGTAAGCTTTAAAGACATGAATAAGAACAAAGTGAATGCACCATAACTTATAGCCACAAGTATTACTTTACCGAAATTACGTTAGAAGATACTATAAGAGTTCTTAGGCTCTGCAAATAATGACGAGATTGGCGTAAAATCACCAAATTAAGGCAAGAGGATCGACACAAGTTTTTCAAGTTTTAGAAATTTGAATGCTGTCGCCGTGTGTAAAACGAAAAGAAAGGATAAAAATAGTAATAATTGCAAGAATAGTCTAAGAAGAGTATATGGATTTTTTGTCTGGGTTCTTCCTGCTGTGAACAAGAATTAGTATGTGAGCGGGATATAAAGAAACCAAAAGTCTAGCAGTCTAGTGTCAACGAAATGAGTTTACAAACCAGCAAAGTTCGGTCCAAACCACTTAAATACAACAACGGTAAAATTACGCATGTAAGTTTATACTTGAGTAATACGAATCGTGGTACTTCAGTGTTATAAATCTTAGTGCTTGAGTGTTACGAATATTAGTACTTTGGTGGATTATGAACACAGTTTTAGAATACAAGTGCTCGGGACCAATAATGAACAAGTTAGCGCAGCGGGGCCCGGGTGGTAGTGAAGGCAGCGGGTGAGCGTGAGGCTCTTATGATGTAAGTTGGTCCGGCTTATCGGTCCTCAGCGTCCGGTCTGCTTCGTGCGTGCCACTCGCCCTCGCCAACTCCATGGCACTCCCTCAATCTCTGACATTCGTGTGCACGAAAACTATAACCTGGCACTCCCTCAATCTCTGAAATTCGTGTGCACGCAAACTAGCCTGGCATTCCCTCACTTTCTTAGACTCTCATATACTCGAAAACTATAGCCTTTTACTCCCTCACTCTGTCACACTCATATACACGAAAACAATAGCATTGCACTCCCACAATCCTTGTGTTCAACACTTATAATACGCGAAAACTATAGCTCGGTACTCCCTCGCTCTGTGTCCAACACTTACGTACACGAAAACTATAGCCTGGCACTATCTCACTCTCTGTGTCCAACACTTGCGTACACGAAAACTATAGCCTGGCATGTGTCCGACACTTACGTACACGAAAACTATAGCCCGGCACTATCTCACTCTATGTGTCCGACACTTACGTACACGAAAACTATAGCCCGGCATATCTCACTCTCTGTGTCCGATACTTACGTACACGAAAACTATAGCCTGGCACTATCTCACTCTCTGTGTCCAACACTCGTATACACGAAAAAGATAGCCCGGCACTCTCTGTATGGAACCCTCAAATACTTATAAAAAATAGTTTGAAATACTCATAAAAGCATCTTAATTTATGCACGAAGGTTTGTGAAAAATTACTAAATTCGTATAATCAATGCTACCGTAACTTTAATTAAACAATTACCGTTACAAGTTATTTAGGCTCCGAAGTATTGAGAAGTGTATTTATGTTCGTCGATGATTTTTGATAACGAAGGTTTTCGTTGATGATAATAAGAATATCATCCACGGTATCAAGTCTTCGAATAATTGTTATTGGTGACTGCAATTACTAGTTTTCATTTGATGGGATGCTTTAATTTATATTTTTGTCAATATAATTCGGACATCAGGCTCACTATATGATAACAGAAGGGCAGCCAAGTATAAACGAAATTCTAATTGGAATTGTACTCTATGTTAGCACAAGTTCGATGTTCAAGATAAGTGCAATTATTTCCCTCTTTTTCATTGGTGCAAATGTTGAAGCATTATTGAAAATTTTTGAATAATTATGTATGAGATATAACCTGTTTTTTTTTTGGTCATGAAAAGTAACCGTAGATTTTGTACATAGATATTTTTGTGTCACAAACCTTGATCGAGAATATATTTGTAACTTTGCCAAACTACACCCGAATTTTAATCTTCCTATTTATTGAGGAACTTTTCGCTGGTGTTATCGACTCTGTGTAGAGATATTTTGGTGTCGAAAATCTTGACAAAAACAGTATTTGTGACTTAGACTATCTACTATAACTGGAATTTCAGCATAATTTTTGAGGATCTTCTCCTTGGTATTACCGACCATGTGTCGTGTCACGGTCCGTGGTGTCGGTTATCTCGGCGCGGCTATCGCGCAAGACAGAGGATGCCGCTCCTAAACTCAACTCCTGATAACTCCTGGGCTGTCCCTCCGCTGCTGCTTCTGATTGTCATGTAGCCTTATTCTAGTTTAGTCGTATTTACGCATTGTCTTATTAAGCCAAGAAACTATCTTATTTTTATCGTAGTTATTCATTGTCTTTTTAAATTTATCTTACTTGTATTCACCATAGTCATATATAAAGCCAAAAATATTGTCGCTCCTTATTACAAATGAAACTTTTTTTATGGCTTTTTTGTTACTTTTTAAACATGTTACACTTTTTACTCATCTTTGCATAGGAGTTCTGTTAACTTCATATTTCTTATTTATTAGACAAGTTGTTGCTCTACCATATATTATTATTTTCATTGTTTAACTCCGTAAAATTACCAGCATGTGCATGGTATGAGGTATTAACAAAATTTAGTTTGATATTTTTTTCATCTCGACTCGCTTGTGCGAGTCGAGTTAGTTATTGTGCGAGTTATTTTCATCGACTCGCTTGTGCGTGCAAGCAGCTGCCATGCCTGATAATTCTCCAGTCATTACTATAATTGGGTCAAATTAACACTTTGATTTAATAATTTTAACGTTTGTCTACCACTGACCATTTAATTAAATGCTTATTATTTTGCTATTCTCAGTGTGTTATTACGTACGCTTGACAAACTCTATCAATCAAATGCACATCAAGACTATCAAAATAAATCTACATCCATGTGAATTCTAATTTGTCACTCATTTTAGTACATGTTAAAACTTGTTTAACCAAACAAACCAATCTTAACCATCTAACTCAAATTAACGTTAACATATGTACTTAGCTGCATTTCGTCTAATTCACGCACTCGACTGATGCACGCTCCTTGGTATCTTCTCTCGTTCGTCTGTAAAACTGTCCCCGAAATTGTATAAGGTACTCTAATTTTTCGCCAGAATGTTTTTGAGTTCATTCCAAGGAGCATTCATTGGCGGCGAAAAATCATATAAATCACATTGAAACTAACCAGCAATGAAACGAACATGGCGGTATGTTATAGATTTATAATTTAGTTGTAATCTGTACAATTTTCAATGTAAGGTTTTGTGATCATCTTCGTTCCTGCCGGCTCCTGCATTTTTGGTGTGCTGGAATAATTTGTTATGTATACATACCTATAAAGCCTTACGTTGCAGGTGTACCGGACTATTTTGTTGTCACCTAAACCTCCTAATAAAATCCTATTTATTTACTATTTATTTCATGCAGAATGTTTTTCAGTATACTATTTATTTGTCATTGATACCATCAAAAAGTCCTACGTTACAGGCATTCCGGACTATTTAGTTGTCACTCCCTCTTATAAATCCCTAATTATATAATATTTATTTCAAACAAATTGTTATTTTATTACACTATTTATGATATTTAGTCGCCATTTATACCCTGATTCCCCTCAGGGGGGACTTCTGACGCGTGTCTGTGCTCGTCAGAAGTCTTATGGGATTTCGCGTTCCTAGGGGGATTGTTCCTGAGCGCCCCACCGCTGAGCTCGCGGTGTCTGACTGCAGGTCTCAGTTGTGGGGTTAAGTTATTATGTAGGTAGGATTCCATACATTAAGTTATTACGTAGGTAGGATTCCATACATTTCCCTTCTCTGTCTCTCTCGTGCGGGCGGCCGACGTCCCGTGTAAGCGACTTCTTGTTCGAGTGTCTTCGTTTCTGTTGCTTGTCACCTGTCCCTCCTTGTCACCTGTCCCTCCTTGTCACTTGTCCCTCCTTGTCACCTGTCCCTCCTTGTCACCTCGCTCACCTGTCCCTCCTTGTCACCTGTCCCTCCTTGTCACCTGTCCCTCCTTGTCACTTCGTCTCTTTAAGATGCTAACGCTGCTTCTTTCGAGCCAGCTTCAGCGGGCTGGACATCTGAGACCTTCCGCCCCTTGTGGGTGATGAATAATTGAGACCTTCCACCTCTATGGTGATGTTCATCTTGACTTTCGGTGCGAGATAGCTAAATAGCTGAAGCGCTAGTAAACATTTGGCCACTAAACTAACTAACTTATACCCTGATTAAGCTGCTCATTACAGGCGTGCCCGACTATTTAGTTGTTTTTGTTTACTCTCTTATAAATACCTAATTATATAATATTCATTTCATTTAAAATGTTATTTCAATACAGTATTTATGATATTTGGTTGTCATTTATACCCTGATTAAGGCTGGACATTACAGGCGTTCCCGACTACATAGTTGTCACTCCCTCTTATAAATCCCTAATTATATACGAATGATATTTATTTCAAACAAAATGTTATATCAATAGAATATTTATATTATTTTGTCATCGTGTATACCCTAATTAAGCTGGACATTACAGGGGTGCCCGACTATTTATAGTTGTCACACCCTCTTATAAATCCTATTTAAATAATATTTATTTCATACAAAATGTTATTTAACTTAATTCCATAGACTATTTATGATATTTAGTCATCATTTATACCCTGACATTATATAAGGCTGGACATTACAGGCGTGCCCGACTACCTGAACACAGAGATCAGCACATCGAAGTTTATATAACATTTACTTCAAACAAAATGTTATTTCTAAACACTATTTATGATATTTAGTCATCATTTATACCCTAATTAAGGCTGGACATTACAGGCGTGCCCGACTACCTGAACACGGAGATCAGCACATCGAAGTTTATATAATATTTACTTCATATAAAATGTTATTTCAATATACACTATTTATGGTATTTAGTCATCATTTATACCCTAATTAAGGCTGGACATTACAGGCGTGCCCGACTACCTGAACACGGAGATAAGCACATCGAAGTTTATATAACATTTACTTCAAACAAAATGTTATTTCAATATACACTATTTATGGTATTTAGTCATCATTTATACCCTAATTGAGCTGGATATTACAGGCGTGCCCGACTACCTGAACACGGAGATAAGCACATCGAAGGCCCGTAAGTTCCCGCTGGTGACGTTCATAGACACGCCGGGGCTGGTGGACGGAGATATGAAGTATCCCTTCGACGTCAACCAGGCGCTACTCTGGCTCGGTAACTCATTTATATTATATCATAATGATAAACATTCTTTTTTTCTTTTGTTGATTCTGGCTCGGTAACGCATTTTTATATCATATAACGATAAACATGCTTTTTTCTTCAATTGATTTTGGCTCGGTAATGCATTCATATTATCATATCATGACGATAAATATGCATTTTTTCATTAATTTATTTTGGCTCGGTAACTCATTCATATATCATATCATTACGCTAAACATGCTTTTTTTTCTTTTATTGATTCTGGCTTGGTAACGCATTCATATATCATTTCATTACGATAAACATGCTTTTTTTCTTTAATTGATTCTGGCTCGGTAACGCATTCATATATCATTTCGTAACCCTAAATATGTTTTTTTTTTTTCAATTGATTCTGGCTTGGTGGCGCATTCACATTATCATATCATAATGCTAAATATTCTTTTTTTTCTTGAATTGATTCTGGCTTGGTAACGCATTCATATATCATATAGTAATGCTAAACATACTTTTTTTCTTCACTTTATATTGGAATGAGATACCAGTGTATCTTTGGTGACATTTAAAGTTATTGAAATTTGAGCTTTAGGTGTTTTGTTAGTCATTGCTCTATGACAAAATTAATTGATCATGAAAGTTATTGTGCTCGTTCTACACTTAATCGAACTCGCCTTCTGTGTTATTTTGCTTATTTTTTATGCACTTGTTTTCCATATTGAGCGTGTGCCTGCTGTTTTTTTTTTTGTTTTTTATTTGTATATGTTATTTTTATTTCCCGAAAACATAGAAGATTAGATGTATTTTTTATGTGTATTTTGATACTACTTCAAAATGATTCTTGCTCACGTCTTTCATGTTTGGTCGCGATATTGTGAATGTTGTAATTTCATGATTATGATCTTATCTGCATTTGTTTCTTTTGGACGTTACATGCACGCGTGTTTGTTGTTGGTGTGAAGAACAACAAACAGTCCAAACAAACGCGAGTTTGTTGTTGATGTGTAGAACAAAAACAGTCCTAACAAACGTGCGTTTGTTATTGGTGTAAAGAACAACAAACAGTCCAAACAAACGCGCGTTTGTTGTTGATGGGGAGAACAACATAACAGTCCTAACAAACGTGCGTTTGTTATTGGTGTAAAGAACAAAAAACAGCCCCAGCAAACGCGTGTTTGTTGTTGGTGTAAAGAACAACAAACAGTCCTAACAAACGCGTGTTTGTTGTTGGTGTTAAGAACAACAAACAGTCCAAACAAACGTGAGTTTGTTGTTGATGTGTAGAACAACAAACAGTCCTATCAGACGCGTGTTTATTGTTGGTGTTAAGAACAACAAACAGTCCTAACAAACGCATGTTTGTTGTTGGTGTTAAAAACAACAAACCGTCCTAACAAACATGTGTTTGTTAGGACTGACAAGAACAGAGGCCAGCGGATGCGTCTATCTCTGCCGCTCGTCTTGCGCGGCATGCGCTATCTGCGCCGTTCGCCTTAGCACCGATAATATCCTCACAAAATAATATATCCTCACAACATAATATATCCTTACAACATAATATATCCTCACAAAATGAGCTGCTTCTTCTCATGTTATCGTCCCGCTGCAACTCCTAAAACCCACGCTTTTACCGTGCGCATAACATCCGAACTGCGATGTTGTTCTTCTCGGTTTTTCTATGTTCGGTTTCGAAATACGGAAAGATTTCTTGAAGAGATTAATTTTAGCTATAGAAATAAAACTTCATGATTTAGAGACAAAGTGCAAGCGTAGCAGAAAAATTAAATGGAATACGATGAGGCCTTGTGCTAATGCCGTGATGTTAATGAATATTGAGTTCATTGACAGCGAATTACCCTCTTTTCCTGTGACTTTCTCGCCACGCTCTCATCGCGTAGGTACAAAGCAACGAGAAGATGAGACAGGTCTAAAGATATATGAATTCGATATAAATTAACTTGCCTCGACTTGTTTTAATCTTCGTTCGCCTGACATGAGTAACCGAAGCAATATTGTCTCAAGCCTACTTCCCAAAAAGGATATATTCTAGTGAGCGCAAAATGACTGCACTGATGGTTGCCGCCACGTACAAATTTAAAATGTTCTCTGTTGCGTGCAAACGTCCTTAAGTTTCTACGCTCAATAGTTTAGTTATAATAGTGGGAGGAACCAAGGTAGAATGGAATCAAGTAAAGGAATTAAGGTAGAAGGAACAAAGTCGATATAGTTATGTTCCCGGAGTGTGACATATGGCGCTAGAGGGTTAACCCAACCCGCCTCACCCTGCCTCAACCGATATCAACATTCAACATGAATGCTCGCGCTATCTTGATTCCTCCAACTATTATCCCGCGGCCGAAAGCTAATGTAAACAGCTGTTTGCATCATCAGTTTTCTTGATTCCATCCGTTACAATATAGTTATTCACGTTCCTTGTAGGTAATTTGCGAAATGAATGTTTCCAGGTGGCTTGTGAAAGAAAGATATGATGCACGTGACAAAGAAGGATGTATTTGCTTATAAAGATATTATAAGATATTTGCTGACTGCTCGTAAAAAATTTATGTAATTTAAAACTATAATGTTTGCAAGCTACTTGGTAAAGCAAGTTTATATACTCATTCAGACGTTTACAGGGGACTTGGTAAAGTAAGTTTATATACTCAGTCAGAAGTTTTTAGGGGACCTGGTAAAGTAAGTTTATATTATATTATTATTATATAATATACAACATTCAGACATTTACAGGTGACTTGTGTGACTTGGTGTTCGTGTTCTTCGACCCGATCGGGCAGGCGCTGTGCCGCCGTACGCTCGACATCGTCGAGGAGCTCAACATGAAGCATCCTGACCGCATCCACTTCTACCTCTCCAAGGCTGACGAGGCCGGCCTCGAGACTGACAGGCAGAGGTATTGTGTGGCTTATAACTTAATTATTGCATTAACTATGGGTATTACATAACTTATAATTCAGTATTATCTAATCATGTGCTGTGACCGCGTACACATCAACCTCCTACTACCTAATTTACTGGAATAACATAACTCAACTTAACAACAAATCAAAGTGTAGACCTCAATAAACTAAAAAATTAATCACGGATATGATCGGATATTTTTAATCTCATGCATTAATGCACATGATTTCTGCGTGACATGATATGTGCCATTTAATGTAATGCATTTACATTATTACCTTTAAAGTAAGGAGAATGGAGAATATGTTCATTTAAATTTGATTAGTTTCGCTCATTGCAACAATAAATAGTTTCGGCGAAAGGGGTCGGCTAGAGATATCATGACTTAACTATAAAATATTTTATCATTGGGCTTGAAGCGTCGAATAATATTATGCCATGACTTAACTATAAAATTTTTAATAATTTGCATTGAAGTGTCGAATAATATTATGCCATGACTTAACTATAAAATTTTTAATAATTTGCCTTCAAGTGTCGCATAATATAATGCCATGACTTAACTATAAAATTTTTAATAATTTGCCTTCAAGTGTCGCATAATATAATGCCATGACTTAACTATACCTGTAATATATTTAATAATTTGGCTTGAAGTGTGGAGTAATATTATGTGATGACGCGCAGAGTGATGATGCAGATCGTGCAGGAGCTGTGCAAGAGACCAGGCCTAAATAAAACAGGCTTCGACATGCCCACCATCTTCATACCCAACCCGGGCAAGGTGAGAACTATAGCATGAATGTTGCGTAAATAGTGACTATTTTGATGAGTCATATTGTCTGAATAGTGACGATATTGATGGTTGATATTGTCCTGATGGTGACAATATTGATGGTTGATATTGTCCTGTTAGTGACGATATTGATGGTTGATATTGTCCTAATGGTGACGATATTGATGCTTGATATTGTCCTAATGGTGACGATATTGATGGATCATGGTGTCCAGATGGTGACAATACCCGTTGACCCCTTAATTTTTCATAGTGTATTAGAGTAGAACGTGCGTCTCAATGTATATTGAGAAGCGGGAGATAAATGGTTCCTACGTTCAGCCTTCGTGATGTGAAGGTTATGGTATCCATTTTATTTATGATCAATTCAGTGATCAAGCTCTTCATGCATACATTATAGATTATTTGCTGTACTGATTTTTTGTGCTTTATTTTCTGTGAGTTCAGCTTCTTTCTTGCGTTCTTCATGTTCCATACGGAATAAACATCGTTCAATTTGCAACATTGACCGAGATGGGAGGTCACACATAACGTAACGAGTTATACTATTTACGAATAGAGATTCATTTTTAGCGCATTTTCTCATTTATGGAAAAAAGCGCTATTGTGCTCGCCATGTCTGTCTGTCCGTCCGTCTGTCTGTCCGTCCGTGACTTCATGTTTTCGTCGACGAGAAAATGCGCTCTCTGTCACTCACTGCAGTGAGTACTGAGTTATATTTTTTTGATCTTGTGTGGGTCACCCTGATCTACTTTAGTCGGCCCAAAAAGTGCTACGTCCGTTTGGTCCGACAACAGGGGCGTGTCAGTGCCTCGTGTAGTAAGTGTGTAATTATTTGGACAATCAGACCCGTTTATTTGCAGGTTGTACGATGCAGCAACCAGATCGAGGAGTGCTGCAGCGTCATCGAAAAGACGATCCAGCGCACCGTGCAGCACACGCTTAATCAGCTCGAGAGCGACAGCCTCGCCATCGTCGGCCTTGTTGATAGCGCCCTCAGACTCGACGATGCTGCTCGACGTGTTAACTTCAAGTCAAGGGTCAGCATAAACTGCGTCCTAGTGTCAGCCAGGTCTAACTTCGTCCTAGTGTCAGCTCAATATGTTTAATTCCAGTCACGGGTCAGTAAACTTCGTCCTAGTGTCAGCTCAATATGTTTAATTCCAGTCACGGGTCAGTAAACTTCGTCCTAGTGTCAGCTCAAACTTCGTCCTAGTGTCAGCTCGAACTTCGCCCTAGTGTCAGCTCGAACTTCCTCATAGTGTCAGCTCAATATGTTTTAATTCCAGTCACGGGTCAGCGCACTTCGCCCCTAGTGTCAGCTCACACTTCGTCCTAGTGTCAGCTCTACCTTCGTACTAGTGTCAGCTTAAACTTAATTTTCTTGTCCGTGAACGGTTGTCGTATTGTGAGCCGAGTTTTTTTTGCCATGATGCCAGATGAATTTTGTTTTGCCGTCAGCCTAGGTGTTGCCATGCTATACGATAAATGTTGTCTAACTTGTCTTAACTTGTCTGCGGAGGTTCTGACATTTTGCTCTCTGAAATCTGTTCATTGTATGACTTCGCACAATAATCAGAATCGTGCGTATCGTTGCTAGAGCTTTTAAATAGTTATTTTGAGCTATTCTTCTCAGTTTAATTTATGATAATTGTCTACTGAGACCATCGGATGTCCAATGTCAGCTTTAAATATATCAACAACCGTCTTGGTTGAAGAACATGGTTGAACCATACTTGAACGTTCTTCAACGAGTATGGTTGAAGAACGTTCCTCTTGCATTCTTGATCATGAATTAAGATTTAGTTTGTCACCTTATACAAAATTTAAAAAGTTTATCTTCGTTACATTAAATAAAGAGCATTTGACTTGATGCAAATTTAACTCAATGATACCTATGTTTTTTTTTGGCAGGGTTGTCTCTTTTTTTTTCCTGCACTGAATCGTGATTAGGGTTTTATTATCTCAATAAAATTTATGTTAATTGCTGTATCTTCATGGGTGTATTGTAATTACTCTATACTTATCTAAATAACACAATAAATGGCGATGAAACTAATGTGCAGAATTCAGAAAATTAATTATTGGATTTGATTAATGTAAAAGGTAATGATGCTTAGATATCAATGTACAATGCTTTAAGCATTGATTTAGCCACCGCTGAGACAAGTTATTTGGTGTGGCAACTATTTATATATTCAACGAATTTACTTCACAAGTCTTTCGCGAAATAGTGCCTCAAAATCAGACATTGCCATCATCGATCGATCGATGCTTTTTTTAACTACGCACTAATAATTTAAACTGATGATTGCTCTTTTATCACCTTAATTAAAGAATATGAACCTAATTTTGAGCACTATAACCATGTGACCACAGGTGCGAGGCGCGGGCTTCTCGCTGCTGGGGCTGGCGCTGCCGGTGCTGCAGCTGCTGCTGGTGCTGCTCTCCTCTGCGCCGCTGCTCACCCTGCACGCCCTCTTCGGCGAGGCCACCGCCTCTGCCCTCATGTTGTACATGGTGGGGTGGTGTACATGGTGGGGGGTGTTCATGGTGGGGGATGTTGTGCATGGTGGGGGGATGTTGCCCTCATGTTCTACATGGTGGGGGGTGGTGTACATGGTGCGGTGGCAGGTGTCGTGTTGTACACTGGGGCATAGAGCGCGTGTTTTGGGTGTCATGTTGTACATGGTAGGGACGTTAAGGATGGTCGTGAGATGATCGATGGATAGAGGATAGTTGTACATTTGAACGTCAAGGATGGTCGTGAGATAGAGCGTTTTTTTATATGGTAGGGAAGGGCTGCTACGGATAAGAGTAAACACACACACACCGGTGTACAGATGCACGTGACGTGGGGTAAGGTGGCTAATGCGTTATGTTTTGTGCAAACTTGTGCTTTATGGTGTAGTGCGGAATGTATGAGGTAACCTGGGTTCTATTTTTCCTGTGTTGTGCAGTCCCCGCTGCTAGGGTTCTGGGTGGGCCTGGGCCCCCAGAACCAGTCGTGGTGCCTGGCCGTGTGTCTGTCGGTGTCGGGTCTGCTACTCGTCATCTCCCGCCTCGTCGGCGTCAAACAACCGACGCTGCAGAAGAAGAACCGAGCGCTGCTCGTCGAGAAGAAACGCCTCGTATCTGAGGTCGTCTTGACTAAAAAGGTGAGCTATTTTGTCACCGAGGTTATAATATTGTGAATTTATTATTAAAAAAAACTGCCTAAAACTACCGAGACTACTTGCTGTACAATATGCAATTTTATCAGCCTTGTTCTTAGGCTGTTGTTGTGCTGCTGAATTGTTGTTGTTGTTGTACTGGGCTGTTGTTGTTTTCTCATGTACTGCAGAACCTCAACGTACAATAAATCAACAGGAATTATCAACGTCTGCTCATTAGAGAAGCTTAACAGGATTCGGTGTTGTACAAGCATCTTCGATTTATTTAATTGAATTAGATGCGTTCTCATTAATCATCGTAGACCTAGTATACTATAATTACCTATGTAATTGATTGTGTATCTTGATGAAGAATTGTGTGCTAAATAAGATATCCATGCAATATATCCATGAAATTTGTTAATAATATATCAATACCAATAAAACAAGTTTCGAAAAACATTTAGTTGCATTAAAAATTTAAAGCGCTTTTCTAATATTAGAAATCTGAAATTGATCTTTTCTCCACAGCAAAGCATGTACGAGGAATACTTGAAGCAGAGCGTTTCAGAGCACGACCTCTGATCTCCTGACGCAGTTCAGCGTCCTGCCTGACGCAGTTCAGCGTCCTGCCTGACGCAGTTCAGCGTCCTGCCTGACGCAGTTCAGCGTCCTGCCTGACGCAGTTCAGCGTCCTGCCTGACGCTGACAACCCTCACAAATTGTGATATATTTTCTCCAAAGAGGATGGTCGCGTTTGCATGGAGGCCGCTCCGCATTTCAGACTAGGACCGTAATGGTGTGATCGAGTCTTTAGTTTAAAAAAATAACGGGTGCGGAATATTACATGAGCAACTCTAAGTGCCTTTAATACTGTTGACTTCCATTAGTTAGTGTAACGATAATGATTTCTGATGCGCTGTTCAAATTGTTACCTGAAGTGAATATCGTCAGCATTTTTACGAGCTACTCAATGGTGGCAAGTCGTGGAGTAACCTTCGAATGGAAATGAAATAGATATTCAAACAAGATTTTCTAGCAGCATTGTATATTAGGACATTTTTGGTCTTATAAAAAACCGAATAAATCGCGATTTTTTGTTAAATTCTATTTAATTGTGATCAATGTTTGAAAAAAATTAATACTTGTTAAACAACCCGTAGACTATTCATTCTTGGAAATTCTATCGCTGTGAGGGCATAACTATTCCTAAGCTAACCATCAATGAATTTTCATCATTCGTTTTAAGCGAAAATCGATTACATCGCAGCTAATTTCTTAGGGATCTTAGGAATGATAGAAAGTTTTACTGTAATGAAGACTGTGCTCCATCTCGTACAGAGAAGTGAGGTATATTTTGCATAGAATGTCCATGATATTATAAGAAATAAGAGAAAACTACGAATTTAGTACTTCTACAGTTTGTTTTAATAATTATATTCTTATTGTTGGCACAAGTGGGGAGTGTGTGACGTCTGTGTGAATTATGTTTAGAGTGTGCGTACAAACATGTTCATGGAAGTGTCGTTAAGAATGGAATTGTGTTCAATAAAATTTTAATGAATAATGAAACGTTCATGCTGTGCTGTAAAAATTACGATCAAAGCTAGGATTCTCTTATATATTTGTATCTTTTAATAAGTGCCTACATTGTATTGATAGCTTTCAAATTTTGTTGAACGTTTCTACAATTCAGAAGCATGACTTTGCATGCTTACATGTTTTATGACTTTGCTCGGCTGGCACTGTAGCCTGACAAGTTTCTAAGTTTATTTCAGTAGTTAATCAATAACTCATCCAAGCTTAAACATTGCAGCTTGCGTCCTCAGAAACCCTCACCCTATGACTCTTTGGTATCTAAATCTGCATTCACGCAATTGAAGAGTAAATGGTTTCTCCATCTGATGATATCTTTGAACAGAATATCTCTGAATAAGTAGAATAGAAAATTTCAACACTATCTTGTAGATTGTTCTGCTTATAAAATCGCTTTTTGTCGATATATAGAGGGTGCTGCATGTATTGCTGGTGGCACGTTCTAGGTGTAATATGTGTAAGAATTTTCGTCGTATGTTGTCGTCCTGTGGTGCCCAGATCATGACAGCCAGATGGTTTTTAACTAGAAGATTTATTATTAACGATCTGAGTGTGTTTTATCTGCATGGTCTCGTTTGTTCAGATGAGCTCATCTTTCCTCAATTTAGAATGATGGGTGAACTGTTTTCTATTCAAAGGCGATTAATTTGATTAATTATATATAATTTGCTTGATTGAGGGATGGATTATGGACCCTCTTAAATTAGGAGAGATGAACGTTTGCGTTAAGGATGGTGGTTGGGAAAGCCACACAATGAACAAAATATTTTGTAAACCATTACACACTTACAGTTCCCTAACCGTGACGAGTTGATGAGTGTGACTGGTCTTTATATTTATTGTCATTTGATGTCTCAGTTTCCAAACAAATTTCCAGGGCAGCTGTGGTAATAAACTTTTAGAATAGGATAGGTTGTGGGAAAATATCTATTCAACTGTAGAGGTGTGAAACTCTCACACATTGAGGATTGACGAGTGTCGAGGCTTCGTTGTCAATTTGTGACTCTTCGTACTCATGTCTTCCAAAAGCATAAAATTGTTTATCAAATAAGGTGTGTGTTGTATGTTAGATTATTTACACGGTTTTTCCCCTTATAGTCGCTGGCTAGCTCTAAATTTAATTCTTGCATAAAACATATCGGTTTTAGTTAATATGATTAGGACGTTGTACCATTTTAGTTACTCTAAGTGTGCATAGTTAATTCTCCTTATAATTTATTTAGTAGCATATGTACAAAACGCGTTGAAATGCTGGACTCTTTTCTACGAGGTTGCTAGTACAATAATATTCACGAACCTTGGTGCGAAAAATGTTTTCTGGATAAGCCTTATAATTTGACGTCTCTTCTTGGAGTGAACAGTCTTTTTTTTCCAAATTTATAACCTATCATAATGGTGCAAATGAGTTTTCTATGAAAATTCACGCGTTCCGCATAAAATAGATTCTAGCCCAATATTCTATGGATTTGGCAATAAGATGAAAAACGGATAAAAACGTATTATGCTAATTTATTTCAAACAAAAAAACATCAAACATAGTTGAGATTCAATAAAGTGTACTAAGCAGCTACAGTAATGAAGTTTACTAGCAAATAGCATTGTTATCACAACTAAATGTAATTATGCTCTACGGCGAAGTGAGTATTGACAGAAATATCATAACCCGCGCTACATGACGCGTGAAGCACAAATAATTTAAGTGAGCATTTTTTCAGATAGCATTCACAGTAGATTATATCAATTATATCTCCTCAGGGCGTGCGCCAGTGAAGACTGAATGTTCCTTGGGAGTTTATTGACGCGACATGAAGAATTTGTGGCAAATACATCATTAATTTGTGACGTGGCAATGAGATTCAGTTGCAATTAATGCTAATTAATGACCGATTTGAGATTCAATAATAAAATCGAAGTGAATACGTCGCTAAGAAGAAATCGCACTTTTCCCCACTTATTTTGTTCACTTATAAAAGAAACATACCTACGCTGCAAGAAACACGCGCAATGTAACAATATAAAGTTAAAAAGCATGCATGAAAGAGATAGAAGCTATTAGCTGCATCATGAAAACTAAAAAAATCTCTACATTTACTATCAAAATGATATTGTTGATTTAACAAGTGTAACTCGCATACTACATTTAGATTAAATAGTCCAAAAGTTAACTCAACAATAATAGAAAATTGAATAAATTTGATCAGCTAAAAATTCAGTAGAACACTCCTAGAGAACATTAAATAGCTTAACAAACAACGTCTACAGGATTAGAGTCAGCATAGGTCACGGTTTACTTGATAGGTTGTGACATAGTGAATAAAATGAGCATGTAATTGAGTCATGATTTAAAACAAGTTAAAATACTTTGAAACAAACGTAGGAGCGACCGCTGCATAGAATGTAACCCATACTACCGTAAAAATGAAATTCATCAAAATGACGTTTCGTAAATAAAAACATTTACTGGCTAGAATGGGGAAGCAGAGCAGTGGATAGTTACTATCAAGCGTTGAGTATATACTAATAGAACAACGTCATGGAGTATATAGAGTCCATCACAAACGAAGAAAATAATAAAACGCCAACGAATAATAATAGAAGCCAACGAATGCTGCCAAGATATCTTGTGAAGTGGAAGCAGTTGCCGTCACGCAGCAAACCTATCCGTTTCTGCGGGAAATATTGGAGGCAGATTAACTTAAATGACAAAGTGGTTAGGAACAGAAAAATCGGAACAGTGAGTTGCGGGTTTGAGACTCGGCTAGCTGCAAAATTCCCCGGTGTCTAGGATCGATGACAGCTTAGACACAAGCTATTTTTATACAAGCGCTGACACCAGTAAAGCTGGCACTAAATTATTACCCGACAGATGACACTAGCGTTGACACTGAAGATGATACTAATAGAGCTGACTTGTTCTCACTGCAAATAGTGATCAATTGTTTGGTATAAAATGGTTATTGTTTCGTCTCAAATGACATCATATGAAATAATTTCGCTCTTTGCCACACTTTAAATCCTCACAATGGAAGTAAAAATGAACTGCAATGAAGTATACACATATAAAGATATGATATAAAAATGATATGTATAGATATAATAAATAATGATACATTATAATATGATGTACAATGATATATAAGTATATTAAATAATGTTACATTACAAGAATCGGCGACAGGCCTATCCAGCCTATTCTTCAATGCCGAAGATACTATACTATACAATATGATATACAATGATATATAAGATAATAAATAATGATCTATCATAATATAATGTAGGTACAATAATAGTTAGTTAGTTAGTTTAGTGACCAAATGTTTACTAGCGCTTCAGCTATTTAGCTATCTCGCACCGAAAGTCAAGATGAACATCACCATAGAGGTGGAAGGTCTCAATTATTCATCACCCACAAGGGGCGGAAGGTCTCAGATGTCCAGCCCGCTGAAGCTGGCTCGAAAGAAGCAGCGTTAGCAGAGCTCAGCGGTGGGGCGCACAGGAACAATCCCCCTAGGAACGCGAAATCCCATAGGACTTCTGACGAGCACAGACACGCGTCAGAAGTCCCCCCTGAGGGGTAGGTACAATAATAAACATAGATGATAGATAAATATACGATATGTATATAAAGAAATTCGAACCTGCACGGGGTGCATCACTCCAGTTCTCCCCAGTCTCAAGGCACGATGGCTGAGGTGGCCATGAGGTTGACGCCACACGTACCGTCGCCGCGGTACACACGGAAGTATCCCTGTACACAAATAATCACTAGATTATTTATAATTATCACCTTATAATTTATAATTATAATCACCTCAATAAATTACTGCCTCATATTCTCCAAGAGGAAGTAGCCCTGCACACAAATAAGCACTGCGTCACAATCTCAACAAATTATTGCATCATATTGTACAAAGACACATTCTTTCCCTCAGAACGAACAGAGAAGCCTTACAAGGGCAGAAAGTGTATCGTTATTCGGATAAAATCTCGCTCACTTATCCGAGCGCATGCTGTCACTCCACGCATCCCTGACATATTATTCAGTTATTCTGCCCCACCTATTATTACATCCTCGGAATATTACATTCAGTTATTCTGCCCCACCTATTCAGTTAAGTTATTCTGCCTCACATAGTCACTCAGTATAACGTGCAACAGGAAGCTTGTTACTTTTCCCCAAGAACATTACAAACATGAAGATATAATGCTACATTAAAACTGTTAGCCCTCCATTACATCCTCGAAAATTAATACAATTTCACTCCTAGTATTGGGCTTAGACGTGAAACGTGATTGAAGTGAAAAGATTTAAGACAGTTACACAAGTTTTGTACAAAACCTGTGTGTTATGTAGTACGAAAAGATGCATAATAAGAAAATATACGATGGAAATATATGCATATATAGTATATACATTATATAATAACCATATCAATACATTATATATGATTTGCATTATATACAATGAAGCAAACAAAAGGTAAAATAAACTCAAGGTGCTTCATAATTCACGGGAAGGTAATCAATAGAACTTTACTTTAATAGCACGCGATTACTGCCACATTCACTGGTGATTAAATAAGATATCCCACGATGAATTAATAGTGAAGGACAAAAATGACATTAAATTCGTTCATTCAATATCATTTTATCTTCACTAATAAAAAAATGTAAAATAAAAAATCAATTCGCAAGATGTCAGTAAATGATAAAATTTAATTTACTAGAGCTATTTCGGTCAAGGGATCATTTCGAAATCGATTTAAAGCAACGGTCAAGGGATCATTTCGAAATCGATTTAAAGCAATAGGTTAATATTACTGATGGCATTAATGATCGAACTATGAATTCGACCATTATATTCTTGGAATTCGACCTGTCTAATTAGCACAATTAAGACAGCTGAATACAATTCCACTGCTGAATAGAGTGAAGATTAGCTTCAATTGCAAGCTAATGACAGAAATAACTGCGTTCACACATGAAAAACTGAAGTAAAGTTACATTCGTGTGAGAATACAAGCGGTAATTCCTATAAATATGTCATAAGTTCCTCATCTTTGATCATAAGTGTCAACACTGAATCAGGTGAACCCATCTAAATTAAAAGCAGATACGTAACCTTAAAAACATAAAGGTGAACGTATTTGTTGAGTATATAATAGCTGCTGCCGGAACTGATCATCACTCACCTGTTCTCCCACTCCGCTCCCCCAGGAATTTTTCATCACTTTCTCCCCATTCAATTTCTCACCACTCACATGATCTCCCCACTCCACTCCCTAGGAATTTTTCACCACTTTCTCCCCACTCAATTTCTCACCACTCACCTGTTCTCCCCACTCACCTGTTCTCCCCACTCACCTGTTCTCCCCACTCAATTTTTCACCACTCACCTGTTCTCCCCACTCACCTGTTCTCATGTTCTCCCCACTCACCGTTCTCCCCACTCACTTGTTCTCCCCACTCACCTGTTCTCCCCACTCACCTGTTCTCCCCACTCACCTGTTCTCCCCAGTCAACTCCCCAGGAGTTTTTCACCACCCAGAAGGGGATGGTCTTGTTGAAGATGGGGTAGCCTGCGGTGACGGGCGAGGTACGGCAGAATATTCAGTTAATTACCGTACCTATTTTTTTACCGTCAAGTACCGTATTCCTGAACATAGTTTATGCACTAGGATCGTGATCATCACTTGTAATTGTCAGTAAATTGCAATTATTCCAGGAATTGCCCAATAAATTTATGAATACGACGGAGCTATGCAACAGAAACTCCAACAAAACTTTTTTCATCAAGTTTCAAACATTTTTAGTCCTACACTTTCACTTCGAGTACGAAAAAAACTTGAAGAAAATAATTTACAATTCGGTTTTTGGGGCAGCTAAAGTCCACAAATCCCAAGAATTGATGCTTCGACAACTGAAGTGTTGACCACGAACCAAATATTGCAAAAACTTTGCTCACCTTAATTCTTAATACTAAGTTCTTTTCTACAATAATGACAATCAAACTCCTTCACTTTGTACCGGCAACCTTTTCAATGTTTACGTCAGAGAAGACAATTAAACTTTATGAAATTGATTTTACCGATAATTGCAGGCCTATAAACCTGATCATTGTAGCTCCTTAAAGTTTTAGATCATAAAAGCCATTTCAACAAATAAACAAAGATTTTTAAATGTGCTTCAATTATACCTATATATAAAATATCTGCGAACGTCTTCGAGAATCGAAACGATACGTTAATAATTAACAATGCAAGTTAACTATAAACAAATTGAAAAATTGTTAAAAATCAGCTTTCAAACTCAATTACAAAGATCGATGATGAAGATAATGTATAAATGCAACAGGATGTTTAAGAAATGCCGGGTCAAAGTGAAGGACTGAGATGGTCCCAATCAGACGTTGAAATAACGTTGATTAAACGTTTTTTCAACGTTTGTCTAAAGGCTGAGGTCTCACTTGCTCTCCCCAGCCGCGGCCCCACGAGTTCTTGACCAGCCAGTACGGCTGCACGCGATGCAAGTACTTCGTCGCTGTGGGGACACGCTTATTAATTACAGTCCCCATTACAATTGAGTATTAATTCATTAATTACCGAGTTTCAATTCAAGAAAGTATTAGGAAAATTATATTACTCCCTTAACACGTTGACTAAGATTGCTTCATCTTGTACTATTATTTCATTTTTTGTACTGTTTTTAAACAGGGCTGCCAGACGGTCATTTTTTCCGGACAAATTCGGTGATTTAGTTTTTTTCAATTGCGTTGGCCGGCAAAAATTTATGATAAGGGTACTTCCTAATTAAATTTTAAATACTGCAAAAAGAAAATGAACGGAATTTTTATAGTGGAACCTACAAATAAACTAGTATATTTTGAGTTATCGGCCTTTTTTGTTCTCGGATTTGGCCAATTTTAGGCAACCTGAATTATGTACCACTACGTCATGGAGAAATACATTTCATGGTACGCATATGTACGTACCACTTCGTAGTCAACGTGTTAAATAAAGTGGTCAAATTTATCACAATTCAAGACTTTGTTATCCAATCATATACCAGCCACTGCTTCCACACTCAACCGCATTTCTCGTCCGACCTTTTTATAAAACAAAATACGACTCAATTAATACTCAATTTCTTAAAACGAATGACTTTTTTTACACGATTTTATACAAGTCATCGAGATTTTCAACTGAAGTTCTCCATATCATGACTTTAGACTTATGATTGAGTAAAAAACCCCAACAATGTAATTGTCATAATCCCGATATTTTTTATGCACTGCAATTCCAAAGATAAACGTTTTAAAGAAACTAATAATGAACTCAGGAGCACATTTCAATAGAACCTTTGGAGATTGAGTCGATAAACCAGCATTTGTGCAGATGAAGGCACTAGTTTGACATTAACGTCTGGTAAAATAAGCAACAAGTTAAATCAAAATAGATAAGATGACGAATTTGATTTCTAATTTTGTTACAAGAGAGCAGCAGGTGGCCGGTGGAAGTAGAAGTCATTATATCTAAGCTTGATTCTCATGTCACCAAAGAAATCATGATCAAATTAACTACTTATAAATAATTGACATTTAAAAAATGAGTACGTACGAGGTTTTCAGCAGATAGGGGAGAGCACTGAGAGACCAACAAATACGATAAAAGTTACAAGTAATTCGCAATTAATACTATTTTGATTGATAGGAATATTTAGCACTAGATCATTGAACATAATTTACATCACTATCGACAAACGAATTACGTTTATGAGCATTACTTAGATTGCCTAGGAAATTATTGAGCATTTGAAATAAATTTTTGATTATGAAATCGAAAGCGAATTAAAAACATTATATAAATTATGGTTTGAGAAAATGTTCAACTAAGAACAGATAAAAATTAATTAATTAATTAATTTATAACACAAAACACAGATAACAATAACACAAAACACAGATATACGCAGCCTAATTAATGCCGGTGATTCAACATTTGAAACTCAAAATTCACGCAACACAGTTCAGATATAATGGTGCCATTGAAGAATAAAATTTCTATTTTTTCAGTCCTTCAAGTTCCTTCAGTATCAAAAAGGACACGAACTTTGAAGAAAAAATTTTTAGTGGTACCGAAAAACTCTTAATTTTGAAAAAATTTTATTTCAAGCATGAATAATTCAATCAGCGCATACACGGCAAATAAGTTTTTAATTAAATTCAGGTAAAGCCACAAATGGTTTCTTCATCTTCTTACAGGCAAGAACTTCCCACGAATTCAGCAATTTTATCAGTCAAATATGATGAAGAATTATAATATGATGATTATTGACTTCAAATATGAAGTCAAATTTACCATTCTTAGGAAATGCAGTTAGGATTGTAAGGCAGCGACGAATAAAAATGTATAACTTTTGCGTTGTTTCCGGATGCAAATCAAGAACAATTATCAACAATAATGAATAATAATAAAAAAAATGAATATTATTGAATGATAATCAACAATAATAAAAAAAAATGAATAATAATTATTGGTGAATAATGATAAATATTGATTACGTAAGGACTTAGAATAATACGGTAATCAACAATAATGAATAATAATAATAATTATTGGCGAATAATAATAATCATTGATGAATAATGTAAATTATTACGCAAATACTTACTGTGCGTGCCGTAGCCGACGATGAGCACGCCGTGGTTGATGTTGTTGGGGCTGCACAGGAAGCGCAGCGGGTGCGTCACGCCGCCGGTGTAGAACTGCAACAAATTATTATGTCATTAATAATGCACAGCTTTCCACGGTTAAACATCGGATAAAAGACAAATTAAATTCTAATGAAACTTTCTGCGGAGTCAAATAATGAAAAAAATACAATAAAGTGGCAACGTGCAAGTCACAGTATGGAGAGTGTAGTAGTATACTGCAGATAATAAGTAAATGACAAATAAATTTTGCATCACTAAGTCAATATGTTTAATTGTATAATTATATATATATATGTTAATTATCAAACATATTTCATAAAAGAATGCGAATGTTTCAAAAACTAGACGTACTAGAGAAAAAAGAAAGCCAGTTTTAAAATCAGCAGCAAAAATGCTTTTAAACTACACAAAATGATCTCAGTTCCATTTTCTCTGTTGCCCAGTGCATTTAAACTGCAGAAAATGATAGTTCTGAACAAATAATCAGTTATACCTGCAGAGGGTTCGCATTGATGCCTATGGAGATGGGTCCGTTCTTGACGAGCCACTGCGCGATCTGCGTCTCGTCTGTTGGTAGCTCCACGGAGCCGTTCACGTGCACCTTCGCCTGTCACGACATACAAAGCAACAACGTTAACGTCAAACTTCGCCTGTCACAGCCAATAAAGCAACGCCATTAACGTACAGATTAAATTTTTAACTTACAAATTTAAGTCATGTTGCGAGACTTCGCCAAAAAAATTGACAAAAGCAGAATGTCGCTCGCTCAATAAAAAACTGTAACGGGACGAAAAAATTTTGTTCTTTAGCTTGTCTGATGCCGCGATTGTTACTGTACATTGAGCCCTCCAGGTACTCGCATCGCCTGGAATAAAAGAGGACCAGTTAGGTCAACTTGAGCATTAGAGAGAACACGAGTCGAGCAATTAAAGCTGACCAAGGTGCGGATACTTGCCTTACACTGTAGTTATCAGGGCAGCAAATGTATCTTTGTACCTCCGTCGTGGGAGGGAAGGATGCCATAGCAGCCGCTCAATATTACCGAGCCTTCTAGCACCTCTGGGATTATTTATGGTACAACTTGGTACGTCAAGAAACCTACTTTTGAAGCCTCGACGTAGCCGTTATGGTGGTACTGATAGTATTGGCACCCATGGTACTATTTACGGTGCTACTGATGACAGTTGGTACAGCAAGAGACGTACCTAAGAAGCCTCGACGTGGCCCTTATGGTGGTACTGATAGTATTAGCACCCATGGTACTATTTATGGTGCTACTAATGACATGCTATTATTTATGGTGCTACTATGGTAATGTACAGCAAGAGACGTACCTTGGCAGCCTCGACGTGGCAAGTACCGTCGTGGCCGTCGTAAGGATATTGCTCCTCGCTCTCCAGGCCACCCAGCTTCTCGATGGCGTCGTAGGCGTTCTCTGGCAGACCGCCCTCACACCCGTGGTCCTCCTTGTCGCAGTCAACCAACTCTGGCAACACAATTAATGTTAGTCACAGTCAACCAGCTCTGGCAACACAGTTAATGTTAGTTGCAGTCAACCAACTCTGGCAACACAATTAATGTTAGTCGCAGTCAACCAACTCTGGCAACACAATTAATGTTAGTTGCAGTCAACCAACTCTGGCAACACAATTAATATAAGTCGCAGGCAACCAACTCTGGCAACATAAATGATGTAAGTCGCAGTCAACCCACTCTGGCAACACAATTAATGTTAGTCGCAGGCAATCAACACTGTGAAAACAATTGACTTTAGTGGCAATCATGCAACTCAGAGGACACTATACATCAGCTTCAATTAAGCAATAAAATTAACAAATAATATCATTTTTAGTCAGCACACACTTCAACATGATTCTCATCAGCAACACTTAAAGTAATTCAACAAAAACAGTTTGTTCCAGTTGTATTCGATAAAATATTTTGATGAAATTCATTAGAAATTTTGGATCAGTTCATCAGACAAACGCAAACAGCAGACCGCGCCCCGCGGTTAAGCAGAAATACAAAAACATAAAATCGAAATATTTTTTTAATTTCAGCAAAATGAACTTTCCAACATTCGTTCAATAATTTACTTCTATCTTAAACACGTTTCAAGTATCAAAAAGTTAACTTAGGTTATTTTTAAAACAAGTAGGTAACTTCTTTCTTTCAATATTAGACACATTAGCCATTCTTCAACTTGGCTTACTTTGTATACAGATGCGAATTATGAATAAAAAAATATAACTCAGTACTCACTGCAGTGACAGAGAGCTCATTTTCTCGTCGACGAAAACTTGAGGTCACGGACAGACGGACGGAAAGACGGACAGACGGACGGACGGACATGGCGAGCACAATAGTGCATTTTTTCCACAAATGAGAAAATGCGCTAAAAACAGCCAAAGTTCAGGTGCAAGCTTCTCAGAGGAGAAGAATTAATTAATTTGCCTGCAAATTTTTTAATATACTTAGCATCCACAATAGATTTTAATGAGATAAAATATGCTTACCTTGCTCGGAGAGGGAGATGAGCTCAGAGTGTTTGAGCGCCCACTGGCCCTCGATGTTGCCGGTGGTTGAGAACGCCCAGCACGAGCCACACATGCCCTGTACACAAGTAATTACTGTCAGACTGGAATATATAAAGAATATGAGACCTTTTAAATACTAATGATTTATAACAATGTGGTCATTAGGTTTAGTAATCAATGAAAATCAAAACATTTGTTTCTAACACAATAAGTGCTGCAAACGAACAACATAACTAGAAATCAGGTCAACATGTGATATATCAAACGTACGGAGAATGTGTCAAAAAGCCAATAACGAATTTTGAGGGGAAAATTGATAGGAAATCATTTAGTATTGAATAACACAGCATTCAACACGTGCTGCAATGAAACTACACATGTTGCCAAGACTGTACCCATGTTGCAATGACTGTACACATGTGGCAGTGACTGTAAACGTGTTGTTACGACTGCACCATGTTGCAATGACTGTAGGGGCAGTGACTGTGAACATGTTGTTAAGACTGCACCATGTTGCAATGACTGTAAACATATTGTTAAGACTGCACCATGTTGCAGTGACTGTAAACATGTTGTTAAGACTGCACCATGTTGCAGTGACTGTAAACATGTTGTTAAGACTGCACCATGTTGCAGTGACTGTAACGCACCTGATTCTTGACGGGTGTGACGACGTTGTAACGCACCTGATTCTTGACGGGCGTGACGACGTTGTAACGCACCTGATTCTTGACGGGCGTGACGACGTTATAACGCACCTGATTCTTGACGGGCGTAACGACGTTATAACGCACCTGATTCTTGACGGGCGTAACGACGTTATAACGCACCTGATTCTTGACGGGCGTAACGACGTTATAGTGACGCCAGTCGTACGCGTCAGGCAGGTCCAGCTGCGGTATGTCGGTCACCAGCTGGCGCTTCTCAGATGGTCGTCGCAGCTCAGGTCTGAACCCAAGCAACTTGCTGAACTCCTCCTCTGCACATTAAAATAATAATAATAACATTCTTCTTTATATAGCTAGTGAAAATGTGAAATATAAATAAATTTATAACTAATAATTATAATATTGATATCTATCTTCGAGTGATTGTTCTCGTTTGTTAATAATAATAATATTGATATTGTTGTGACTGTTCGTTAATAATGATAATAATGACTGACGTGTTAGGTCGGAGAACTGGGTGACACCGTATGTAGCAGAGCCGCGCTCGGAGCGTCGTAGCTGCTTCACGCGCTGAAGGTTTTGCCTGAAGATGGCGAAGCGCTTACGGAACTCTTCGGCATCCTGGTACTGCTTGCCGTGCTCTTGCATGAACGACTGGAAGCTGAACAGCGCGTTCGCACGCTGCACAAAATACAACATTGTAAGTTTTCAGGGACCGTACTGTCATATCTAGCTTAAGTACACGTAGAGGCCTAATTTTATACAGGTTTGGTTGAAGACCAGAGCGTACTTTTTATTTACGATTTTCTTATTGTTCTTTTCGATAAGCCGAACGAAATTTCTAGCTGGAGCTTGGAGATCANTGTTCGGCTTATCGAAAAGAACAATAAGAAAATCGTAAATAAAAAGTACGCTCTGGTCTTCAACCAAACCTGTATAAATGAAGAACTTCTGCCTAACTACACTAAGTAGAGGCCTAAGTACACGTAGCGGCCTATGCCCACCTAGCGACCGATTTATCAGCGAATTTTGGGTTTTGCTTGAAAAGCAGTCAGTGATTGGCATACTGGTCACAAGCTTCAGAAGCTTTCAACTATTTTTCGATGGTATGGTCTAAAAGCAATATATAAATATACATTATAAAAAAATTATAGTTTAAATTATAATTTAATGTAAGTTTTTTTACATGAGGATTCGCATCAATTTATGCGGTTGGCACATAAAAATTTAATAAATTCATTCAATCAGCATTACCATGCAACATCCTAGAAACAAAAACGGATATTAATCACGATAATAGTACATTTCAACAAACGGATTTTGTACCCAACTTTATTCCACCGTCTTCCTCTACAGCCATAATCTAATTAAATAGATTATTCCAATATTTAATAAAACTGGTGTTCAAGTGTGCAATATCGTTATTAATTTCAGATTGTACATTTCCTACATTTGTCTTTGCTTTCAAATTTCCAATGCATGTGGTCCTTCAATCAGAAAACTGAATGGGTCATGGTGTCCGAATATAGACACACTTTCGTCTCCACGGGAGTATCTGTGCTAGAGTGCGGATGTAGCACAAATACACCCGTTTTCCTAGGCTCAACTGAGGCAGGATCACCCACACAAGAGCAGAAAGTGCATTACTGTTTGGTCAAAGTCTTACTAATATGACAATAGGTTCATCAAGCAGTGGAAGATTTTAAAGATATTCCTATCCTAAATAGTAAGATCGAACGAAATATTTAAATTAAAAGTAAAACCAATGTTTTATCATTGAATTCTACAATCCAGTTTTTATACATACATGGGGAGCTTTATCGTGATCATCCTCTCCAAACATAGGGCGGTGATGAGGAATTCGATCGTGATTATCTCCGCCAATCAGGGTGCGGTGGTGAGGTATTTTGTCGTGATCATCTCCTCCGAAGATGGGGCGATGATGAGGAATCCTATCGTGATTGTCCCCACCAATAAAGGTGCGATGATGAGGAACTTTATCGTGATCATCTCTACCGATCAGGATAGGATGATGGGGCACTTTATCGTGATCATCTCCACCAAAAATCGGTCGGTGATGAGGAACTTTATCGTGATCATCTCCGCCGATCAGGATAGGATGATGGGGCACTTTATCGTGATCATCTCCACCAAAAATCGGTCGGTGGTGAGGAACTTTATCGTGATCATCTCCGCCGATCAGGATAGGATGATGGGGCACTTTATCGTGATCATCTCCACCAAAGATCGGACGATGGTGAGGTACTCTATCGTGATCATCTCCTCCGAGATTTGCTCGGTGATGGGGCACTTTATCGTGATCATCTCCACCAAAGATAGGTCGGCGGTGAGGAATGCTCCCTTGTACATCTCCAATTAGGGTACGATGGTGAGGTACTCTATCGTGATTGTCTTTCCCAAGTTCAGGTCGCTGATGAGGCAATTGATCATGACCATCGCCACCAAGAATGGCACGGTTGTGAGGTACTTTATCGTGATCATCACCACCAAGAATGGCACGGTTGTGAGGTACTTTATCGTGATCATCTCCTCCCAGCAAGGGCTGGCGATGATCTACTACATCATGGCCATCAGCTCCTAGCAATGGCTCCTTGATAGGGACAGGGGAATCCTTTGCCTGTAAAATGTAAAAAATAGCAAAAATTAACAGGATCTTGAATTGCAAGACATCCCAATGCAAAAATGGTTCATTTGGAAAATGTGGAAAATATATTAAATGTGGAAACATATGTGAAAATATATTATCAGACTGAGAGGTTAATAATTAGATTCTTTAGGCATGCTAGGAAAAATTACATTTATAGGTACACACACCACACAACTAATTTACTACTGTAGTTTAATCAAGATATTTTCCTTAGCCCATAAGCATAATAATAGTATAGTACATGATGCAAGTTTATATCTTGCATCATATACTATTTAAATAAATAAGGGCATACCTTAATGTAGTGTTTTGTTTCTTCATCATAATGTCCAAGGTTCTGAAAAAAAAAATTATTTTCAATGTATTAGAACCCAGATCAAAGTTATGGAGGTCTCATAGGAGCACTGAAATATGTACCTATTATTGTGTATTAGGTTACTATAGCAGAGATATATATATATAGGTATATATAACTAATTGGTACAAAACTACATATATGATAAACTTATTTTAAACTTTCAAAGTCATTCAGGCACTGAACTTTTCTGCAGGAGCACTGGTTTCCTTTGTTAAGGGGACGGTCTAACCTAAATTGGAGATAGCCTATAACTCCTAAAGTTATTATCCGATCATCATGAAACTTCACATTCAAACGTAAAATGTAAAAATAAAAACATTTTACTTCTATGAATTTTTCGAAAAAATTGATAGAAAACGTGATATTCATAGAAAACGGAAAAATAACACAAAAAGTGGAAAACGCCTAAATTGAAAATTTTAGGTTAGACGGTCCCCTTAAGCAGTATATAAATTTATATATAGTTTATTTACGAGCCATGTCAGAAAAATTGTTCAGAAACTGCAAAGACATTACACACAAAATCCAGAAATTCACTTGGTGCATCTATGTAATAAAACAGAACTAAAATTTATCTTAATAGTCATCTTTCAATTCAGGCAAAATACCAAAAGTAAGTAAATCATTGCTCATTATTCTTATTATCATTATTATTATTATTATCATTATTATTTTTGTTCGACAAAATTAATCCTAGAATGAAGCATGTATGTTGTCTCTCATTCAATTTTAGTAGTAGTACTACTACTGTACTAGTAGTAGTATAATGGTTTGCTAGCGCTTCAGCTATCAAGCTATTTTGCACTGGAGGGCAAAAGATATCATTGCCGTGAAACTACATGTAGAACTTGCTATACAATACACATCATCTGTCATGATCATCATAATCATCTTAAATTTGAAATTTGAATTAAATTTTGAACCCAAGTTGTACTATATTTCAAGCAAACAGAGCTAGAATTAAGAATTTGAAGTTTTGAACTAAGATTGTAGAGGACAATCCCAAAACTGATGCAAATGTTAGGTTTTATTGAGAGAAGCAAATTATTTAAGAACATATGTATCAGTAGAATTCAAGGTGATTGACTGATTGACATGATTGTTAATTCACTACAAAAAATTATTCTTAAGCCATACTTTTTATGGCAAATAATATATAATTTCCATGGAAAAAAAGCTTTAAACAGTTTTTGATGGAAATTAAAATGAGATGGGTTGTAGAAAATCAGATTTGCCATAATACTGAATTGCTGATTGAGCCTGATTCTAAAAAATAATTCACTGTGGAAATTAATTAGGTATTTGACAGAAGAATAGAAGATGCCCTGTGCCTGTGGCATGTGAGGCTGTGCGCCTGTGCCCATCATCATCGCAGCCCATGACTAGCCATGAGATGAACATAGGCCTACCTGGAAAATTAGGCAGAAGGTACATATGAATTGGTCAAAAACAGCCTGCAAATCTGGCTAATTTCACCCATTCCTAATTCTTAGTACCTAATTGTACTAATTCAATGGCTTTCTCCTAAATTCAATCTTACCTAATTCTATGGCTTTCTCCTAAATCTCACCCATTCCTAGCCTCCTATCATGCAAGAAATACTGGCTAAATACATTTTAATTTAGAAATTAACGTCAATCGAAAATTCGAAATTGCTGCTGTCAGGGCTATGTCGGTTCTTGCGAACCGATTGTTGCATCCAGTTGCTTATATTGAAAATAAAATGATTTAAGCAAGTATTTCTTGCATCAGAGATAATTAAAAGTTTGCTAATGTTAACAGCATTATAATACATGCAGAAACGTACATTTTTTTATAGATATTAAAAATTTAGGCTCTATGACTTGTATACTATGTCTATCAGTAGTGAAGGTGTGTTTTACGATCGGTCCATAAAGAAGTGTTGATCGGTTCAAAATGACATAAGAACAGGTTCTTTTGAATAACCTATGGATTGGCACCATGCAGTCCTAGGTATGGACTTGTCCTATTTTCTCTAGTAAAAGTAAAATCGTGCAATATTTAACCTGCAATTTTCAAAAATTACCTTTGAAACAATTATTTTAACTTAGGTACAATTTCAGGAAACTTCACAAATCACAACTGTCAACACAACACAAGTTGACTAATACATACCATGACATCAGGACGGAGAAGTTGACAGGAAACATACTTTAAAATTGTTAGAAATAGCAGTAGTTTGACTGAATTTAATGCAAACATCACGGAAGTTTCAACGAGGGCTTGTGAATCGACAGTCGACACAGCCCTAACGCAGTATGTACGATTCTACACTGACAACGCACTACGCACTACGCAGTACGCAGTAATCCGACTATCCTCTAGCGTTTCGGCGACCCTAGCAACAGGGTGCTTTCCTTATATCCGCATTTTCTGAAAATTAATACAATTTCAAGGTACACAAATTTATTTTACAAGTTATTTGATATTTCACAATTAGAATGGAAATATTCTTACACTTATTCCAAAATTGCAACCACTTTATGTTCACGTATCTCCAATCTATTTCACGTATCATGTTAAATCATAATTGCATTCTAAATGTGGTAAAGTTTTCTTTACGTATCGCATAAATTGATTTATCAAAATTTCATGCGTGACAGATAAATACTTCTGTCACAGTCAGATGGCTGTCTCAAGAAAGAAGCATTCAGTTCTTCGTCCGTTACTCGCCAATGAGACGAATGATGTTTATTCTCTTCCATTAGGTCAAAGCTTATTATTTTTATAGCTCACTCGCGAGTGATGAGTTGCTAATGAGTTTTTAGAGCAATATTGAATGCGGTTTTCTCGTTTTGTGTCATTTGTCTTCACCTATCGTGAATTTGACACATTATTATACATTCTCCTATGTTAGGCCATAACGTCCGTGAGGAACAGCACTACGTAGTTCTAGCGTAGCCAAGATCTTGACGTTGTATCAACCGTTCAAGTGTTTGGAGGTAAATACCTCAATACCTCTTAACTTCAGCTACCTTTTCCAAGGGAAGTCCACAACTACCTAAGCCATATAAATTCCATCGCAATAGGGCCTTTCCAGGTCCGAAAATAATAACCTAGACATTAAAGTTGCCGTCCGCTACGGTACCCGCCAAACTCTGCGGTTGAGAAAATTTGATATGGTTGAATCTATAGAGGAATAATCTGCAAGACAGCTCCAAGCAATCATTGCATTTCACAAAGCCATCCATCATGGCAAGGAGAGTGTGAAACAAAGTGAGGCACTTTACGTTGTTGCGAACACGTAGCAAGTTTTAGAATAATTAACATCGATAGTGGGAGGCGGAGAAATCTCACAAGTGAGCAGTACAAGACTACGACATAAAGCGTAGTCTAACGTGATCTAGAGCTCGCGATCGTCAATATTGCAGATATATACAGATTGGAGTTAGGAACTATCCATTAATCTAAATGTGACTTTAAACGGAGGGTTTTTGTTCTCAGACAAAAGAAAAAAGGATAATGAGAATGCTTAACCATAATATTCTCAATAAACTTAAAATTTTTGCTTTCACATTGGTGCCATTTTGAGCCGGCACACTTCATGTCAACGCCGCTGATGGACCTTCGACCAATGGACAGGCTATTGTAGCGGATGAGGCTCAGGGTGCGTCGATGGCACTCACATCGTCCATCTGGGAAGACGTGGAATATTGAACTCGACATTTTTTGGTATAATGTTAGGCTTACGAGGTCACAAATATCTTCCTACCTCGAAGTGAACAGGAAATGGGAGAAAACGAAGAAATAAAAGAAATTCAGCAAAAAAAGTCATCGTTCAAAAGCACACACAAAAGGAAATCATTTAGAAGGTGTAGCCATAAAATTTAAATATATCGTATCTAACCCATAGGTTAATAATACCTGCTGCTTATAGCACATACCTGCTATACTTCAGTACGTGGCAAAGAAATATTTTAGAACCTACAGTAATAAAACGTATGTTCTTTGAGGTCCATGAATTAACTCAAAACCACCTGATGCTGTGAGGGCCAAGAAAGGCCGGCAGCATGGCGCTCATAACAAGGACTTGGACATGTAGACACCGTCGAGCTCGTATCCAAGTTTAGCGTAGTAGTTCCTGGTGCCTACGCCTGGAATAGTTGCGAACTCGTCTCGTACATCAATTACCAATAAAAATTACCATTTGATCAACGAAGTGAGAGAAGCTATTACATAAGGGAAAATTTATATTTGTTACAAAACATCAGTCAATTGTGAACTCGCAAAAATAAATCAGGTAGAATTTTATCTACAAAAATTGTAACGTTTGCCAATGATATTCGTATATAACGACCTGGTAACTAGTTATTAAATGGAGATAAAACATTGCCTTACATGATATGACAACTAAAAATATATCTGAACGCCAAGACTCCTGTCAACTGTCTGATCTAATACAGCTGGAAAAATATTAGAAAAATTCTATTGCACCTGATATGACAGCCAGCTTGTGGGCGCCATGCTCGTCCCTAGCTATCCTCTCAGCCTCCTCCATAAGCAGAGCGCCGTAGCCCTGATGCTGGAACTTCGTGGGGTCACGAGTGCTGACGGCGACCACGCTGCCGTACACGTGTAGCTCCCGCACCACCGACACGCCCGTGCACAGCTCTTCCCTGCAGGGCAAATAACGTTCAACAACAGGGCACTACCGATACGCCCGTGCACAGCTCTTCCCTGCGGGGCAAATAACGTTCAACAACACGGCACTACAGACACGCCCGTGCACAGCTCTTCCCTGCGGGGCAAATAACGTTCAACAACAGGGCACCACCGACACGCCCGTGCACAGCTCTTCCCTGCGGGGCAAATAACGTTCAACAACAGGGCACTACCGACGCGCCCGAGCACAGCTCTTCCCTGCGGGGCAAATAACGTTCAACAACAGGGCACTACAGACGCGCCCGTGCACAGCTCTTCCCTGCGGGGCAAATTATGTTCAACAACACGGCACTACCGACACATACGTGCACATCCCTGCTATGTTGAGCCAATAACGCTCAATGACAGGGCATTACAGAAACACCCGTGCACAGCTCTTCTTTGCAAAACCAATAGCGCTCAATAACAGACAGGAAGTTTCTCTGGCTATTGGAAAAGATTCAGAATGTAACTATCAAAAGTCGGAATCCGTATGAATCGAGAGTTTTGCTTGAATTGTACAGTGCCCAAATTACGAACTACTAATTTATGTAAGAGAAACTACGTACCTAAAACTATTCTAATTTGTGAAGCCAGATGAAAAATTAACTAAATTAGTTATTGGCTTACACGGGTATGAAAGGGTTACCATCAAATTATGCCATGCAACTGGAGAAAAAAATGTACGAATCCGCAGAAAAAATAGAATCAAGTAATAGAGCAAAGCTAAGCCACTGACCTGAAAGCGTCAGCAGAAGCCTGCCTGAGGCGTAGGAGGCCTACCAAGATGTCCTGCACGGGGTCTTCGTAGGACAAGAACGTCTCGTGGCCTCCGTTGGCGTAGTAGTCGCGGCGTATCAACTCCACCTGCAACGTAACATACACGTTGAAGTGTCACAGAATGAGCTGGAGTTTCCTTCACTCTTCTAAAGCAAGATTTTCACATATAGCAGAAATGAAGTTTAATTCCGGCATTTTCAGGGCAGTTTGACCAATCTTAATTAGATAGAATATGCCTTGGCTGAGGGCGACGAAATACTGAGGCGGAGCTCCAGCCTCCAGTTTGGCCTCGGACTGCTACGTCCGAAACACATACTATGAATGTAATAATTTATCTATATAAGGTAGCCTTGCCACGGTACGACCTGCTCCGGCTTAAGCTTGGTGTGTATTTCCTTGATGCCAACTTCCCTTGTTCGTACGTCACGGCACTGCGACCCTAGGTCCTGCATACGCGCCAGCGCCAGCTCGCGCAGGTTGCCGTGCTCCACGCCAGAACTGAGGGATAAAACTTTGATTTTCTTACACTGTTCACACATACATTTTGAACTTATTTCAGTTTTATAAATAATAAAAAATTGACGTAAGAAAACTATAATTTGCGAAGTCATAATTCACCATGAAAATTGAATACATGGGTTTCAACAGCAACAGCTGGCACGGAATTCAGCGGTTACATAGATTACAAACACTTTAATGGTAAATAACTTTTGAATTTTTATCTGACTAGTAAACTCAAAAGTCCCCTTGAACTCCCCCACTCCATGTTATATATAATACGGTATTTAATAATTTCTCGTTTAACTAGTAGTAATGGAATGCTCCCATTAAAAGGTATTAAATTTATTGCAAAAGCGTATCTGTATCTGACCTGACGAGTGGCATGGGGATGTCTCTCTGTACCCGGTACACCCTAACCCAGGGAGGTACCAGCGACAGGATGGTGGCCACTAGGTTGACAAGAGTCGAGGCAGGGTAGCTCTTGTACCGGCCAGTCTTCCAAAGCTCGTACAGGCCTGTGCCTCTGATCACCAGCGTCGGGTAAAGCTTCATGCCATCAGGCCGGAACGCCGGGTTCTCGAATAATTCCTGGGTTGGAGGATTAAAGTTTTTAACGTTGAAGACATTGAAACATTTATTAGCGCCAAAAGGCTCAACTTCACAAGAAATTGTATTCAAAATTGTTACAATTGTATTCAAAATTGTTACAAGTAATGAGGAGTGAATTATCACTACTGGAATATAAAACGTAGCATGTTCCTCGTATGCCAACCACTCACAATGAACTGCAATACATCTCTCTCGTAGTCCACGTTAGGCAGGTCTGGCATCATGTGCGTCACGACTTTGAAGCCCGCGTCTTTGCTGTACTGGAAGCTCTCGCACACCGCCCGCACCGTGTGTCCTCTGCAGCCAGTAGTGTTAAAAAACCGTAAGTAAAAAGCAGTTAAAGGCCAATTTAGGTGAAACTAAAAAAATATGACGAGATAAAGCATAACGTACTGCATGAAAAGTCTAAAATATTTAGACAGTAATGTTGTTTTCTTTCCCGTTCCCGTTTTTTCCCATTCTTTTTTATCAAGAAAAATCACGATCGTTCTTTATTTTTATATGGTCGGGTTTAGAAAAAATTGGAACTGAGGTAATAAATTTGACAAGTGATGGCAAAGATAAGGATCAATAAAGGGAATAGTTAGGAAATTAACAATAGGCAAATAAAATTTTCTAATAAATTAAGATGGTAATGGTTTGAAAACACCAAAGCTACAAGTATCACTACTACAAGTCTTCAAATTAACCAACAAGAGCATATCAAATCAAAAATAGGTTGCAGAGAGGAAGAGTGAAAAGAGATAGGTTAAAAACAGGAAGGGTGCAGAGAGGGGAAGGGTGCAGAGAGGGGAAGGGTGCAGAGAGGGGAAGGGTGCAGAGAGGGGAAGGGTGCGGAGAGGGGAAGGGTGCAGAGAGGGGAAGGGTGCGGAGAGGGGAAGGGTATAGAGAAGAAGACTGCAGAATAAAAGGCTAAAGAGATGAAGGCTGCATAGGAGAAGGCTGCAGACGAGAAGGCTGCAGAAGGGTAGGCTAAAAAAAGCTGCAGAAGGGCAGGCTATGACCTGTTGGTGTCTCGAGCCACGTCCTCATAGACAGACTGTACGCCGATCTCGAGGCGCGTGCAGCCGTAGCTCAGCATGTCCGAGAGATGACGCTTCAGGCAGTAGTCCGGCCGTGTCTCTATGGTGATCCCTGCAATGCATGATGTTGTTAATTATTCAATTTTTTAGCTATTATAAAATAACATGAATGGGTTTCAGTGTATTTATTTTATAGAACTTGCTATTTAGGTACCTGGTTCAGGCGCCATGTCCCAAATTGGATACTTAATTAGGATTTTTTGCAGGTAGTTGAACCATTAATTTGCCTACTGAGATTGTTTATTAAGTAGTAAAAATTACGAATTCTTCTGGATCAGGCTTTCATTCTTTGGGTCAGGCTGGAATTTCAAAAATCATTTACTCTCACATATATTTAATGTTCTCAAATACTAAATTACAAAGTCAGTATGAGCAAATAAGATCTGCATTTCATAATTTGCGCCATGGATGATAAGCAGTAGTCTGGTTGTAATCGACAGCTCCACATTTGATTATCAACGTGCGAATGAGGTTAACTTGACATCTCAACTCCCTTGTATTCAAAGCAAAACATTAGGTAATGTTTACCAATTATGACCAAATACCTACGCGGCGCTCGTGAGCAAATATACTATGAATTTTTGACTAGATATAAAAAAATGTACAAAAAAAAATTCGCATTGTGGACAATAGTGGAATCAATATTCCACTAGAATCACTATTCCTTGCTATCAATTTCATAAATTCACACCACAGCAGTACTTGTCAAAGCGAATCAGGATATTTCAGCGCATTAACAAGCAATTCAGCACATAAATACCAGTGAAAAGATGCAGGAAGCCTATTAGTTACCGATGCATTTGGTGTTACTTCTCTCACTGTACTGCACAGCTTCTTGCACACTGGAGGAGGTATGGCCGCTGAGAGCATCATGGAGGTTTCTTATAAAATAATCACGGTAGTCTTGTGGTAGCGCCATGAACGTTCCTCCCATGACAATAAACTCCACTTTGTCAACACTGTGTCCCAGCTGACGCAGCTGAGTGAGACAGGCGGGCGTGGATGAATTAATAATTTCACACATGGAACACTAGTACAGTGGTCACATTACATCGTAACAAGCTGATGAACTTAGGACCTAAATTACTGAGAATTACTACCCGATGAATTAAGAAGTAAAATGATTGAGAATTACTACCCATGAACACAATATCCAAGGCTAAAAGTTATTTTTCATAACCGATTGCCCCCAATCTCTAGACCTGAATAAATACCTGTTCCACTCGATGCCGCGTTTGTAAATAAGGGTTGTACCGCGCGCGTATTGCGCGCATGCTGGTAGGTTCATAGCCTGTGTAGCTCTGTGTGCTGTACTCAAAGTCTGAGTCGGGTCCCCCAGGGCAATACACACAAATGTTCCCAGTGAGGCTAATGTGAGGACATCTGTGAGGCTTGCACATCACGGCCACGACCGCAATCTGTAGTGGATCGTTGATAACATGAATATTCACATCACGGCCACGACCGCAATTTGAGAGGATACGGTAGTTTAAAACGTGAATATTCATAGGCAAAGGCATTGCAATATAACCTAAATTATTGGAAAGATATATCATTTAAACCTACTTAAACCTAATACTCTGACATTTAGAGCATTATCAGAGACAAACTTATATCCTTGTACACCTTCTACACGTTTTAGAGACCACACTGCTAATAAAGACATGATATTGTCAAGATAGATAACGTAGTAAATATAAAAAACAAATAGAACTATTTACATCAAAAATACATTACAAACAACACAAGCTCATTATGGTACACAAAATAAATACAATTTTCCATTGTATAATTCAAGGATTTCCTACCAAAACCCTTCACTATACTGTGATGCAAGCAAAATAATAACATCAAATTTTCTTTCACTATTTTTCTGATGCCAAGTCTCAATGAATATGATTTGAATTTTGACAATTATATAACATTTCATCTTTCCCTTCATCACAGATAGATTATATGGTCATTGGTCATGATGACATATACTAATGATAGGCATACATGAATTGCTTTTATTGTGACATCAACAGCAGGTTCTTACAGTATGCAAATCTTGTGGTGCAGTCAGAAAACAAATTTACAGTCAGAAATATAAATACCTTTTCATAAAATGCATCCAGAAAAGGTATTTACTTCCTTTGATTTACATTAATTACAACATAAATTTGAGCTTTCAAACAAAAATTAACACAGTAATAATTTTCTGAAATGAACTACCGGTATAGCATGAATGGTTATATTGGGTCATTTATAATGTTATTTTAGTTTCAGAATTATTATATATGATATACTTAAACAGGTTCTCCACATAGCTATCTACCCTACCCCAGATGCAGTCCTGATAGGCTTGGCTTTCAGTTTGGGCAGCAGCAGAGCTTTGTGTTGAGCAGGCACAGCAGCAATGATGTCCACAAGGCGTGGGGCAGAGGGCACGCCATGTCGTGAGGCAACGCCATTTTTCAGTTTATTGAGGTCAACATCTTTGCCTTCTTGCACAGACTTCAGAAGTTTAGCAACTATTTCACCAATCACTTGAACTTGAACATCACCATCATGATCTGAAATGAGAATACATTTATTAGAGATGTTGCTTGTTGGGTCAAAACTTCAGAGATTTTAAATAGGTATATATATTAAATTCAAATAGCATACAGTAGATTGAATTTAAGTTTATAAAGTTTATATATCCATGATGCTTTGCTTGTCTACTCATAGGACTCAAAAATGAACTTGAGGTTGTTGAATAAGAGTACAAAAAAGTCTCTGCTTTGCCACTATCCCTGTGAAGTGTTGACAAGTCACAAAAAGTACAAGAATATCAGGCCTATTCTTCAGCATTGAAATCACTATGATATGTGCAATCATCACACTTGAATAAGACTTTCCTTTTACAACTTGGCTTGTATTGGAACTTAGATTGCATTAAGAAATAATATACGTTTAAAAAATACTTTTTAAAGACAATACTTCTAAAGAATCCAGAGTCTCCAAAAACTCCAATGTTAGAGATGTAAAATGAATTTCTCATTTTATTTTCAAATATTAAAACAATTAATTTTTAAATTTTTCTTTAATTTATAAATTTTTTTTTTTCAAAATTATTTATTCTGTAAATTGATTCATGCATTGCCTCTGACTTCACACAAGTGTGCAAAATTACAGATCAATTGGACAGGTAAAAGTGTGTCAAATATCAGTTAGGTAGGTACGTACAGCTAAGATTTGTAGGTAGGCCTAGCTGACAAAATTATTTTATCAATTTTTTAATATTGAAAATAAAATTCTACTTTATTAAAATTATTCATTTTGTTTATTGATTCATGCATTGCCTCCAACTTTACGCAAGTGTGCAAAATATCAGATCGATAGGATAAGTCGAAGTGTGTTAAATTTTGCTTCAGTAGGCTATAAGATTTGTAGCAGACAGACAGACAGACAAACAAACAAGAAGTGAATTTAAAGAGAAGTGTTGTAATAAAAAATGTTCTAATCTTGTAGGTAACTTGCTTTAAATTCAGATTTTTTGATACAATATGATAATAATAATGATATAGGCCCTACTATGCACAGCTTTGTTTATTACATGTCCATGGTCCTCAAAGTGGAAGATTTGGTACTAATAGGCTAACAGGACTTGAGCGCTAGCTGCTAGGATACCTACAAGGCTACAAATGATCAAAATTGCATATCACTTACTTTTCCTTCCTTTAGCCATTTTTGAGCGTTTGACAGGATTTGAGCCTTATAGGACTGATTCTGTAGACTGTAGGTACAAGGTAAATGGCGCTCAAAAAACTTACTCAAATGGTAAATCACTTCAATGCTTCATAGTTATAAAGACTTAAAGTTATTGACACTATTCTGTCCCGTGGCTAACCTAAATTCAAAACAAGTTGCACCATGCTTCGAAGAGGAGTTCATACCTATATGGTAAAGCACGCAATTTATCGAGATTTGAAAAACATTTAAACGCCGTCACATTTCATAAAATGCTATGGTAAATATTCAACTGGATTGAGTTAGTTTTTGATTCATTCTAATAATGAATCCAGAATCCAGACTATTCGGGTCCATGGTTGAACTAGGTAGTATGCAGTATGCACCATGATTCGGGTCTATGCAGCTCCAGGTAGCCTACCTAATATATTTTACACGTGCTGAATCAAAGATTTTTTATTTTCTAGATAACGTTATGCATTATTTTCTAGATATTATCTAGAAAATAATGCATAACGTTAATATAATATAATGCATTTCTGGTTTCCATGCATTTAGCTTTCAAAACATTTTTTAACGTAAAGGCTCGGATGCAATAGTTTTTTATGCAAGCCTACAAATTTTCCGCAGCAACAGACATGGAAGTTGTATTCTTTCCTTAGCATTGTTTCGCCTTACAGTTAGAAAACTTTCCGGGTCAAGTTTTTACTTCGAAATGCGTAACTTACACAATAATAATTTATTTCATTGACAACCCTCCACTAGATTATGAGTCATGAATGCATGAATTTATGTCCTAATAATATATTTGTTTTAGAATGTTCATTAGTTTCAACGCAGTTATAATCATGGAGCGCAGAAAGGATCCAGGACGTCATTTCTGGAAAATTTGTCAATTTTTTTCTTTATTTTTGGAAATTTCTGGACAGAAAAAACGTCATTTCTGCACTCTGCAGACGGAAATTTTGAGACCGTCATTTAATTAACGCATGGGGTTCATTCACCTGGGGTTAATTGTGATTAAACTCTCTACTGGCTGTTACTAATCGCAAATATATATCAGGATAGTGGTTTCGTGACTAAACTATAACACACGTACTTTTCAATTACCTAACTCACAAATGAATCGACACTTCTCCGGACCCGCCAGCGGGCTCGCCTAACTAAACCTCTCATAAGTACTTCATTGCTGAACATCATTACGCAATACAAAATGTTGTAAATTTATTACATAAATTATTTGCGATAAGAAATAATTTTCACGTGATACATCAATAAAAGAACCCAGTGCATGGCTGTTGCTCAAACAGCTCAGTCATTCAAATCCAATATAATAGATGAATAAATTTGAGAATTGAAGGCAATACAGTTCCAAACTTCCATGACATATTTTACGACTGTTCATGAGAGCAAGTTCCGAACTCTAATACACCGAATTCGATCAAGTGGGATTTAAAAAAAACCTTATTAATATTATCCATTCCACAAATAAGAAGCCCGGGAAGTTTGTTTTATTTCCCGCCAGAGTTCGTAGTTCATGCGGATTTGCCAGCGAGTTGTGCCTCCTATGTGCCACATTCTTAGAGCCTGATTTTAAGGCGAAACAAAAATATTCTCGATCCGGTAACAAAAAATTACCTGTTCAATGTCGCTGGGAAAAATTAGTTGATCAGCGCCAGTGCCGTAAATCCCTAATGACTGAGTGGAAACTCTTTAATTCCGACTATTAGGTCCAATACGGTTTTATATAAACTAACAACTATCAATAATGGCGCTTAGTCCTCTGATACGGTATAGTTGCTGGTCGCATATAGCCACAAAGATGCTTGCCGGTGAGTAAGGAAAATTTTATCTTGTTGGTTCCTTGCCCAATATTGATATTTTCCTGTCCTACCTTGCTGCTTCGACCCAATTTATATTCGTGACCTAACTTTGTAGGAAGTTACAAGAAAAATGTGACCAACTAATCGTAGCCTAATTGCCAAATGCCCAAATTTCTAATCAATTTGTTCAAATTTCAATATTGGTACCTAATTGGTATGGTTTTGAATAGAAGGGTAGGGTGATAGATATTTGTTGTAAATTATTAGTAAAAGGATTACCTTTTAATAGGCTTTTATATTGAATCATTTTGTCAAATGGTCCTGATTCCTGAAAATTAAAACTAAAAAGAAAATGAATATTTTCAATATGTTTTGAATGTTTGAGGTAAATTGTATTTGTAGGAATCCAGGATCTGGAAATCTGGAATTTATCTGGAATCCAGCCTGCCAGGTAGCTATTGTGTTCAAAAAGAATTAGGGTAAACGCGGTATATTTCGACACTTTAAGGACGCATCGAAAAATGAAAAACTATAAAAAAAAACCGTATGCGTTACGTAAGTTCTGTTGCCTTCACATGACTCTCAAAACACTTCACTACGCGTCAGCAACGATGAAATGTCACAAAATGTTGCCATATTTATTAAAAAGCCTTTAGAATGGAAACCTACCAAATCCCTATATTCCGTCACTTTGTGTGGCAACATCCGACACGTGATGAGTCGTATTGCGTCAGCGCTTCAAATTTAACTGATCCGTATTGCCGACATCCACGTGTTCGAATTCCGTTTGCTGTGTGAGCTGTATTGGGATACAACACGGCTTTGAATTACCATGGTCAGGAAGATGTGCCAGGTACGCGGGAATTTTTTTTGTCATTTCAACGACCTGCGCGGTGCGCCGTACAATGCTGGTAAAAAAATGCGCCGTGCGCCGTACTTTAGAAAGTCGACAATATACGCGAGTATATTGACTACGCGAGTCGAAGTGACAATAATAAAATGTAAGACATGTCCGGGTTACTTCTAACTCTTCCGCGTTCTGCTTGTTGAATACGGAACGTACGGTAATCGTAAACTGCGGCTTACGTCTGTTCCTCCACAAACTGCTCGTACGCGGCAGCGCGTCTTCCGCGTTCCGCTTGCCGGATACGGAACGTACAAACCATCAATGAACGCATGGAACTAAAACAAAGCTTAATATAAAGGAAAAACTAGAGAAGTGACGGAATTACCTACGATGTCGGAATATACCGCGTTTACCCTATGTGGCTATTGGTCTGATCATTAATGGAATCAAGGAATATTTACTAGGAATTGGAAATTTGGAATTGGGGTGCGTGGTGACCTACGGTCACGACCTTTAAATCGGTCATACACGCTGCCTAAAAAACTTTTACTAGCATCAAAAAATTAAAAGTTCACACTCTTATGTTAACAAAAAAGTTAAAATATACCATATTCACAGCTGTCCTAAGAAAAAATATAAAAATTTGACAATCGCAAAAAATTAAAACCACGTACTAAAACAATTCGGTATGTTCACACGTCTTCCCACCCTCCCCTCTCTCAACCCTCCATTCCTCAAGACTCCACTCTTAACATCCTCCTCCTCTCTCTCATCCTCCACACGTTTTCCAAATATCTCTTCACACTCTCAAACATAGCCGCAGTTGCTCCCTCAGACAGACCTGTAGGCTGTAATTATCGCCATCCACTCTTTGCTTGTTACTAAATACTAAATAGATCAATTTAGGTAGGGTAAATGCAGTATATTCAGACATCGTGGGTAATTCCGTCACCTCTCTAGTTTTTCCTTTATATTAAGCTTTGTTTTAGTTCCATGCGTTTGTTGATGGTTGAAATGTTGACGTCATACATTTGCACGTCCGCCACGTCGAACTAATGCCAAAACACTAGGTCTTTGCCATCTAGCAGGAAAATATTGAGATCCAAAGAGAGACAATACACACTACCCAGTGAGATCATCGAAAAATGTGTCAAATTTGACAGTTGACCTTGCTCTACAAAATAGTGAATAACTGTTTGTATAGGAAGAATATTATGGTTCGAGACTTTTAAATACATCTGTGAATATATTAGGAATCCTTTAAGTATACTTGTATTTGCTGATATCAAGTGGTAAATAAATTAATAGATGATTAAGTTGAGAAATGGATTTAGACACATGAAAACTAATTCCGTCACAACTTGAATTGGCAGATCGTTCCAAGCTATGTACAAAAATTACAATTTGCTTAATTAAAAGCTCAATAGTTGTTAATTAAAAGCGTAATTAAGTAATGTTCAATATTCATTAGTGTTCTAATTCAAAGCCGTGTTGTATTCCAATACAGCGAACAGAATTCGAACACGTGGATGACGGCATTACGTATCAGAATTTGAAGCGCGGACGGAATACGCCTCACCATGTGCCAAATATTGCCACACACAGTGACGGAATATAGGGATTTGGTAGGTTTGCATTCTAAAGGCTTTTAAATAAATATGGCAACATTTTGTGATGTTTCATTGTTGCTGGCGCGTAGTACGGTGTTTTGCAAGTCACATAAAGCAAACAGAACTCGAGTAACGCATACGGTTATTTTTTTATAGTTTTTCATTTCTTGATGCGTCCTTAATTTGTCGTAATATACCGTGTTTACCCTAGATTTCTTTTAGACTTTGCCTGGATTCCCAAACTCAAAAATTAGGCAGAAGCTAACCATGAATGAGGAAATATGTGCTTGTGTTTGGAATTAATTTTATCTCTTCGTAGCTATGATGTCCCTTGCCCAATTTCTGCTCTAAAAGTTAATCCAGTTTGAACAATACTTAATGGCAAAAAATGCATACGGATTTCTTTTCTTTTGGATGTTGCATATTGAAATTGTTTTTTTCTCTTAGGATTTATGTGAATACATTTTAACTGAACTTTTTGTTAACATACAAGTGTGAACTTTTAATTCTTTGATGCTGGGAAAAGAGCTTTTATGCAGCGTGGATGACCCAGAGGTTACCACGCACCCCAATTCCAATATATTTCATTTTTTTAATTACACATGAAATGATTGTTTTTACCTGCAATGAATGATTGAAGAACTATACCTAAAATTTTATACATAATTTTTTTCACTGTGCAGAAATTGAGCCAATTTTCTGCTATCGTTAATGCCAGGGCAGAGTTCTTAAATTCTAGTTCATATTTGCTTATTGAAGTTCAATCCAGCATAATCACATAATTCACATTTTTAAAAGATATTTAGTAGTATCAACTATGTTACAATCTGAAATATCAGGCAAAATTTTCTAAAAATAGCAAATGAAAAAGATTATTTCATTATACTTTTATAGAATATTTCTGAAATAAATTGAAAATGTTATGTTTTTCTAATTTTCAGAGAATAAATTGGGCAAGGATAAGAGGACTGGGTTAAATTTACCTCCAGCATGGGCATCTTTGCCTCATTCACAGGCTGGTGTGGAATATATCTACCATTTGAGCCACAACTAGAGCTCTAATGCCATTTTTGGAGCTGTAATATTCTTGCTAGATGAATTAACTCCCATCTAATTGTCAATAAAACTGCTCAATCAAGGCAGAGAATTGAATAATGAGTAGGAAAATTCCAATTTAGTTCAAAGGTAGCTTGTGCGTGATTTTCTGGTTGGGGCTGAGTTCAGGCCTTTTTGATGAAATAATTTAGATGGTTAAAAATTTTTATTTCACTTGTAAACTTTTATTCATTCTCAAAATCTACTGTCAGAGATGCAAGATTTTCCTCTCCACAATACAATTTACAGGGTTTGATTAACATAAAACTCCCAAGTCATTTTCATCACTCTAATAAATTATATTTCTGTGTTGTTTATACAGTCTCTCTATTTGTTATAATAATATAACCTGTTATAGTCTCTATTACAGGCCTGTAACATAAGTCCTGTAGCATCTTAAGTGGAATTGAAATTAATCCTTGAAAATTGTTCTATTTAAATCACCACTCATGCTTAGGAACTGATTTACTTAATACATTAATACTTCAGGCAATTGGCCTCTTCTACTTCCTGAAGTGTTTTTTTTTAAGGATTTGAAAATACATTTATGACATGAAAGGAAGAAGTTATTAAGTTAATGAATAGACTAGATTCTTTAAATTTGATTTGAATTTACTTTTTCAACTTTTGTGCTATATTATATTGTTACAGGGTGCATACCGGTCATGAAAAACCTGGAAACAATGTGATGGGTATATGACAATGTGAAGGCAATACGACAACGTGATAAGTATACCATTACCCATCACATTGTCATACACCCATCACATCATTGTTTCCAGGATTTGTAAGGAATTCATACAAGCATAACTGCTAACAATTTTATTGAGACTCCAAAGGATAAGCTTCGGATCCAGAGAAGTAGAAAACCGGAACTGCAGACTATTGTATCGTATGCAATTTATCATTATGAGGATCAAGATATATTGAGCAATTTATGAAAAATTGAGAATAAATATTCGCGACTAACCTTCTAATTTATTACCGCTGGGGTAAATTTAGAAGTGGCTTGGAAGCCGTTTAGAGATAGGTGTATTCAAGTGCAATTGAGTGCAAAGGTTAGTATATTAATAGATGACAGGTCGACCCAACGTGACTCAGTTAATAAGGTTAAAGCGCCACAGGGCGTAAAGTTAATAGGCTCGAAAGCCGGCAATACTGCCTAGTTTAATAAATGCGTCAGAGACGTCTTGAAGTTGGGTCAAACCAAATAGTAACGTGGCATGCATTAAGTATATAGAGGGCCCATAGCATGCATTAATTCAAAAGATGATAGGAAGTGAAATTGCACTCTGGTCACTGCGGGCAATACAGTAGCCTAGAACACCATTTGAGTCACCTCCGTCTCACATAAGCCAGTCAAAAGTTAAGTCTTAATGCTTCAAAATTTCTCTCGAAATCAATACTTAATCTAACTTAATCTCTAAGGTCTCCGTTACAGTAAAACGGAACATAATTTCAATTAAATGGAACATGAATCGGTAAAATTTCTAATAGATTTCCGTGACCAGTGCACACCCTGTTGGTATAATTTATAAATTATATTATTTAATACAGTTTTAAAAACAAACATTGAATTTTGCAGGTGCTGTCACCTCAAACACAGGACCTGCTGTCAACACACCAATCCCATCTTGGTCAATGTCAACACTAGAAGCAAGATTATCAGCTGATGTCTCTTCTTTAACTGAAAAAGCCAAGACTCTTGATTCACTGGTAAATGTAATGGAAAATAATGGTGAAAGCAATTTATTGCAGTGTACAAATAATGCAATTCTATCAAAATGTATGATTAATTTTGTTTTTACTGTGGAATTAACCATTACTGCAGAGAAGTGAAGTTTTCTTACTCACAACACTGCTGGCTTCACTTGCTCAAATGAAAAAAAAAAAAAATAAAAAATGATTCTCTAAAGGACTGCTGATATGTATAAGGAAGCTCTCATTTAAATATAGTAATGCACAGTATCCCAATGTTGCTTTTAGTAAAAACAATTGTATTACTAGACACTGATTCTATTCCATAATTTTTCAGTCACTGCAAAAATTAAATGGTTTTCACTCTGTCCAACCAAGCCTGGTACAATTATCTGGAAGACAAAGAAGAGATGTGGAAGATTCAACATCTAATGTTCTGTTGGAATTATCTTCATCTTTTGATCTACTCTCAGTGGTGGACCAAGCTGTCAGGTTTGTTATCTAACATGAAGGGAGTGTTCAGTATTAATATTTCAAGAAATTTGTTCTTTGAATTTTCAAAAGCCTTTGACTGAAATGGGAGGTTAACTAAAGTGAAATGTAGTGTTATAACTTCATTTATTGTATTTTGTTTCTTATTTTAAGCTTTAAAACACTTGCAAAAACAGAAAACTTTTTTTTGAAGCATATGAAGAAAAACTGTACCAATATACTGTACCTGACTTTTCTGTCTCATTGCTTTTCATTTATGATGTATAGGCAAATATCAGCTTGCTTGTTACTCTTTTCATCTGTTTCACAATGAACACCTATGTACTACTTAGGTAACTAAGTGCTGCGTTTCTCCTAAGGTTCAGGTTGCTAAATTGAACAGGCCACATTAAGTACCGGTATCCGTCCTTTATTGCAAGCTTTACTTTTCCTGTTGTTAATTATTAGTACAAATCAAGTACCCAAAGTACAGTAATTTTAGTATATTTATCATCAGTTTGGAAGCACTAATCAAGTATGTATATGTAGTGGTAACTTGCTACATTTTATTCATGGTATTGCTTGCAGACTGCCGTCTTTTGTGCCAAAGGCTCCAGTCATGATACCAACAGCTGTGCCTCTGACGTCTCTGGATCTGCCATGCACAAACGACGCTGTCAATAACGTTGTGGAGCCTTATGAAGACCTCCTGCCTAGAATTCTGCCCTCTGCTCAGGTACCGTACCCACTTACTCTGATTCAATTATTTAGAAATAAGTAATGTCACTGTAACAAACCAGATCTTTGGATTTATCAGCTAAGATAAGATACAAATATCTGGCTCTCATGTTAATGTAGTGTCCAGTCCCTTCATTTAGGTTATCTATAATATTAATTTCATATTTTGTTTGTCTGAATTTTCCATACGTTTTTTCCTTCATTTTATCTGTGTGTGTTTGTATGATTTTTCTAATAGCACATATCGAATTATTTGAACGACTTGAAGCAAGGTTTCAGTGCTCATAAAATCAGCATATCAAATTATGCAACAGGAACTATGATCCAACAGAAATAATTGCTAACATTACTTCAGAGCGTGGACAAGATGGAGTGCATCAACATGGTTCGCATGAGGCGCAAGAAGATGAAGAAACACAAGCGCATCAAGGAGCGCAAGAGGAACCGTGTGAGCCACGAGCACCGCATCCTCATGGATATCATTAGAAGGGAGAAGATATTCATGGTGAGCTGACACCTCGCATTCACTGCTTCGTCTACATCCATTATCGCGTTCACTGCTGTACCCATGTATACACACTAACTAGCCTGAATCCTCACCTTCACAGTTCCATCCACGTTCATTATCGCGTTCACTGCTCTACCCATACATACACTTAGCTAACCAACCTCACCTTCACTGATTCATCCACATCTACATATTATAGCGTTCACTGCTCTACTCACATTACATAGCCAGCCTCAAGTTTGCTGCTCTATCCGCATACAGTAACCAAACAGCCTAGCGTTCTCTCTATTCAAACGGCGTACATTGAATTTTTCTTTCCAGATAAATTAGCTGGTTTTGATGTTATTCGTACCTGCAGTCCTAGAAATTGAGTTACCGCAAAATTAGGTTGCACAAAAAAAAATCCATCCCAGATATTCAAAGTTCAGTAATGAAGATGGAGATTTGTTTCCGATTGCAATGTTTATTCAATAATGTTCAAAGTGAAAAGCAAGTCTATCGAAGTATAAATGTAATTATGTAAATGAATAGTCTATTTTCGATTTTTTATACTTTCTAAATGTCTGAGAAGTACTATCGTTTAAATTTGGAAGAAATTAAAAAAAAGGTGTAAAGCTCCATTAAATTCTGAAAAATTTTCACAGAATTTGAACAAGAACTCGGGAACAAGTGGGCAAATTCTATAAGATTGAATCACTTGAGTCATCTCTGTTATTCCAGTTGGAACAAACAAACCGCCTGAACGAAGTTGAACAATTCAGCGCCGAGCAATACGTAGCCGACAAGATCAAAAGCTACAGGCGGCCCATCCCTAAATACTGGAACGGCAAGAGGCTCCCCGAGTCCGTGGTTATTGACCTCATGCGGAAACAAGGCCTGCCTGTCCCAGGCCTTGACGATTAAGAGGAATGGCTTCAGAGGTGGTTTGAAGGTAAGCAATGTGTTATTACAATCTTCATGTCTAATTTATTAGTTAATAAAAAATTTTAGTGAAATAACCTCTTCTGACGACTAATTCAAATTTAATCAAACGTCATTAGAATTGAAGTTTGTCAAAGTGTAAGGAAAAATTTTAGTCTGGAAACATGGCGTTATAGTCGCTGTCGAAATTAAAAAAATTTTGACGTGCATTGTTGATTTGGATATTTAATACAATTTCATGGTCTAGATATAGGAAGCAATAACTCTAAATATTCATTGTAATTCTCGTCTACATAATGCCGATTATATTCATCCCTAAGTTTCCTATTATCCATTGGCTGTTAAGAATGGAATGTGTGGAATATTTTTTTGACAGACTAAATTTTTTCCAGATTCGGCGTAAGGACTTCAAATGCAGAATAAAAATCGTAAATAGACATTTGTATAGTTGTCAAGATTTATTATTGACCTTACAAAAAACACGATATCCGCCAGAATTTCATAATAAATTCCCATTGGTGATCAATGTTCATTGTTTTTGACGAGCGAACGTTTGTGTCAGTTAGACTAATTTGAGAGAGACTTCGCTATCTTTCTTCTCCTCGCATCGCCATTAAAAAGTAAGTAGCAAGTCTTTCGGCGATATTTTTGAGTAAGTAGTCTTTCGGCGATATAGTTGGAGTAAATAGTTAATTACATTTATTTAATAATCAATATAGCACCTCACGAATGCAGGCATGATGGATGGCGAAAATTTTTCGAATAAGAAGCAAATTTGTACAACGATTTTAAAGAAATGCCCCATGACGATTACCGTATATGCAAGCTGTGTGGCCTCTTCGTAGTCAATCCATTGATAATAATTTGATCGTGTGATTGTGAGGTGACCAATATATGTCGATGTTACTTTTTTAGACTATCATTTGAATTCAACTGCGGTGCTTGAAAATTTTTGATCATTTACTATGTTACAAACTCAATCAGATTAGTAATTATCGAACTGAAATTTGAAAAATTAATTTAGCTTTAGTACCACAGCCCTCATAAGTCATCAATCAAATGCCATGATGCGGAAACTGCGCCTGGTTAAGATGGAAATAAATTGACAGCGGGCAGCACGGCGGCAAAAAAAAAAAAAAAAAAGAAATCAAAGAATCCATCAGGGATACCAGTTTATTAGATTTTTAGATCCCTAAGCCACAAAATTTTTCAAGCTGTAATTCTCGTAACAGAAGAAAACACAATGTGATAGGAAGTTCAATGAAAAAATGTGCAGAAGTCCCGAACACGTTCAGGACATCTCCTTATTAAGAGATTATGCATCCACAGCCTGTGCAGCGATTTTTATTAAACGTTCTTAAAAAGTAAGTTTAGCCAAAGCCGGAGAAGGACGAGGAAAGATACGCTTAATTTCATCACGACATGCAGAATAATAGTTCGTGCAAACCGTGAAGAATAACACAATCACAGCCATCAGAAAGAAACTAAAATGGAATTACATTTTTTTACCACTCATTAATTAACAAAAATCAAGTCTTAGACGCAGTCTGTCTTCATATTTGCCTTTATATTCAGTACAAAAATCACGTAAAGTATTGGAACACTCATGAAGTATTATGACTGGAGTGCATCGCAACACTCACGTCTAAGAGTTAAGTAAAAACAATTGCTGCGACAAGTCTTCAAGACTTAATAACAAGGGCTTCCATTGAGGCCATCAGTCCGTGAGTCGCTCAAACGCAAACAAATAAATTTAGAAAGCAACTAATTCCTGCGCAAACAATGCCCAATGACTTATTTGCCATGCCTTCAATAAACATCAAATGGCCTAACCACTTTCACAAGTAAGCTTTCGAAAAATTATAACCCCCAAATCTGAGGTCAAGCTATTGTAACCCAGTAACTCATTTCAAAAGATTCTAACAGGAATCATGTGGAATGTACCTGTTGTTTGCAAGGTAGAATCGTGTACTAAATTAAATATACTTTCCATCCACGGAAAGTATATTTGAAAAAATTTTACAAAGAATTCAAGTGATCAAAAGCTGACTGACATTGAACGCAGATGATGAAATCAACAAAGTCATTGTAAAAATAATGATCGTTTACTTAGCGCTCCATGCCATTATTTATTTGACAGTCTCAGAAGTAATCAGTATCGAGGGTTAAAAATGAACGCAATTGTCAGCACAATTTGACGGCAGCGTAAGAATAAGTTCAGGGCAAATTGATTTGTGTGCTCGATCTAGGAAAGGTAGGAACAAATAGTGTCTCAATAAATCTAGAAAAATGCACAATTTACAATGAGCTTCATCAATCTTGTATAGAATACGAGTGCTCAAATTACTTGCATAAGTCATAGAGAATCAATAGCAGGAGAACAATAAATAAAATGAAAATGTAAGAATACTTTGGGCGCTAAACTGAATAATATAGAAAAAGAGGGCAGGGACAGGAGATCGAAAATTCTTAACGTTACCAAAAAATTTGCTGTGCAAGCATGTAACAGTGATCAGCTGTTTTTCTTAACGTCACAACATTTGAAATATATATAATAAAAAAATATAGAAGTAAACATTGACTACAAGCTGCCCAATAAATCAATATGTCAACCATTATCAAAGAACGCAATATTGACATCAATCCTTTTGAAGTAGGAAAATTCGACTTTTTCATCAACAATTATGAAGATTTTTGGACTTGAAGGCAATCACTTCAACTGCGGACAGCGACGTGGTCGAGCGTGCGTTCTTGGAACTTCCAGCACCCTCGCCGTGCACGCCGCCCGCGTGAGTAGAAAATTCTCTGCCGTTTCAAAGCGCTATTTTGTAGACCCTCGTCGGTCGCTTCCGAATCGTCAGTATCACTTTCGTGTTTTCTTTTTGCCCCTAACTCATCGATACGGCTCAGTTGAACAGATGTTATCATTTGTAGCTTAGAATCTAAAATTCTTCTGCCGTCGTTGCAATTCTTCGAAGAACCAGGAACGGAGTTTTCCTGAGTTGGGCCGGAGCTGGCGGCCGAGTCGCATGCAAGTCTCTTAATATCGAGGGCGCCAAGATGTTCCAACTTCACTTTGACGCCTTTTAAAGCCAGTCTATTTGGAGACGTGCGTCTAAAATGTTGAACCTTACGGCCACGGTTAGCAGTTCCTCTGATGCAATGCGTCAAATGAGTCAATTTGCTACTTTGCCCAGAAAGATTGTTAAGTCCACTTAACGATCTTTCTTTTCTATTACCAACAGAATGTTTGCGGATGACCCGGCTTGCATTGCCACGTATCAACCGATGTCGGATCAGGGATTTTTTGCCAGCGAATTCCCCCTGATTGGACTCAACAAGAATTTTGTCAGAGGGGTCTTGCAAATGCCTCCCTAAACCAGAAAATGTGCGTTTGAGCTTCCTAGGGGCCACGATATGCTGGAAACATTTAGGTACGATAGCCACATCAGCATCATACGAGATATTCTTCGTGTCCGCACGCTGATTCGTCTCATCAGCTGATGGCACTTTAGCTGTAGTCAAATCGTAGCCTTTCAAGGGATCGAGTGGGGAACTCTCGTTCAAAGATTGACCAGCTTGCCGTGAAAAGTGAGAAGCGCCGTCAGCAAATTTCAATTCTCGAGAAGAGCTTTCCTCCGGCGGCTTGGAATGTTGGAGGGAGTCTCTGTCATTAGAGTCGTCATCAGAGGAAAGCTCTAAAACCACGGGTTCCGTCTTAACTAAAAGCGGGTCGCAGAAATTATCATCCAGCAACACCGCGATGTCGTCATTTTCAGATGGAAGACAAGAAGACAAGTAACAATTGTTGCTTCCATGAATAGCAATATCAAGATCGTCCTCGGGAATTTTACGTCCACCATCACTTGATCCAAGATCCAGCTTGTCGTTCAATTCTTTTCTTGACTTTTCTACAGTTAGATTCTCATCATGCGATAATCCTGGTGATGCTTTTAAGCAGGGTTTAGCGATAAACTTATCTACGGAATCTTCAAAATTATCCGAGTTGTAACTCGCGTCAGTCGAAGATGTAACAAGAATAGAACCTTCATCGTTTCCACAATGGGTTTCTTCAGACGTTCTCTGCAGCTTGGAAGGTTCAGCGTCCCACCTATCCCTAGTACTATAATCGCAGAAATTGCTCGCATCGTTGTCAGCTTCTGCACGTGCAGAAATTCGTGAAGTTTGTGACCAATTTGAAATTCTAAAATCCCGTAACTCAATTTTCTTCTTCAGAGCAAGGAATTTTTCATTCGATTCATCTATAGAAGGGAAGCCATCAAACATCTCCTCCAGTTCCAACGTATTTTCAACGCCTATGGAAGATCGACTTTTACTGCAGGAAGAGGTATTATAATATTGAGGACTTTCATCACAGTTAGGTGTCTCCGACAAACAGGAAAAGCTGCTGACACTCGAGACATCTCCGGACCTATCAACCTCAAGGAAAGATTGATCTTTGTCGTTGTAATTTTCTTGACAAAGGTGTGCAGTCAATGAATCACGGAAGCTAGATTCATTTGAAGGTGGATCCTTAATTGAAATTGAATCTGAGTACGTTCCTACCGAGCCCTCATTCAACAGACTATACATTTCGCATGAATGAGGAGTGTCAATATTTTCAACACCAACGTCCATCTGTAATGTCGGACTAATTTTCATCCTCGTTGATCGACCGTCTGACAGTGATGCTTCCTTCAAAAGAAAATTGCATTTGCTGGCTTGCGTTGTTGAGGATTCCCAGTTATTAGCGTCGTTGTGAAATGGATTTGAAGCCTCATATATATTATTCTTACTTTCGCCCAGTATATTTCCGACTGCAGCTACGTTTTCTATTACGTCAATCTCTTCCTTCAGGAGTAGTGTGTTTTCGCCTGTAAGCTGCTGTATGACGGGACGATTCTCAAAAGGTTGTGAATTACTTTCACAAGTGGCCGAAGAAATATCATGTTCAGAGGCGATGCCAAAATTACTGGATATAAACATAGTTTTATTATCACTGTTTTTCATCTTATTAATAAATGCAGCTGCTGTCAATCGTCTTGGTCTCTTACCGGAGATTCCTAAGACTGAATCGTCATCTGAATCGCTTTCCTCGTCTGGCTCCCAGATAGGATCATTCAAATCTCCATCTGGAGATTCATAATTAGGACTAAGAGATAAGATGAAATCTTCCTCATCAGCGCTGGCAGCGCGAGATATTTTCGAGTCGAGAACAGATGAGAAATTATTTTTCCGAGATTCCAAATCAGGCTTGCGTCTTTTCAAACCACTTGGCTGTTTCGGAGGAGGAACCTTGCAACTCAGAGATTCCTTACGACCTTTTCCACTGCAATTTTTCTTCTGGACCTTTCGCCGCTTTTCAGCTTTCCGTTTTCTGGACAACTGACTTTTCTCAAGTGAAATTGTCGGTCTTGTGACTGTGTTCAAATATGAGAATGAACTTTCCAAAGATTCAAGTTTTTCACAATCGTGTCTGCTTGCCTTCGCAGCAGAAAGTTTATTGTCTGTATCTGCAGCGATGTTGTCAGCATCTGCAGCAGCGTTGTCTGCACTTGCAGCGATGTCTGTATCTGCAGCGATGTCTGTATCTGCAGCGATGTCTGTATCTGCAGCGATGTTGTCTGTATCTGCAGCGATGTTGTCTGTATCTGCAGCGATGTTGTCTGTATCTGCAGCGATGTTGTCTGTATCTGCAGCGATGTTGTCTGTGCCTGCAGCAATGTTGTCTGCATCTGCAGCAACGTTGTCTGCATCAGCAGCAACGTTATCTGCATCAGCAGTGGCGTCGTTTCCATCGGCAGTGGCGTCGTCTGCATCAGCAGTGGCGTCGTTTCCATCGGCAGTGGCGTCGTCTGCATCAGCAATGGCGTTGTCTGCATCGGCAGCGATGTCTGTATCTGCAGCGATGTCTGTATCTGCAGCGATGTTGTCTGTATCTGCAGCGATGTTGTCTGTATCAGCAGCGATGTTGTTTGCATCACCAGCGACGTTGTTTGCATCGGCAGCGACGTTGTCTGCATCAGCAGTGGCATTGTTTGCATCAGCAGCGACGTTGTCTGCATCACCAGCGACGTTGTCTGCATCAGAAGTGGCATTGTTTGCATCAGCAGCGACGTTGTCTGCATCAGCAGTGGCCTTGTTTGCATCAGCAGCGACGTTGTCTGCATCGGCAGTGGCGTTGTTTGCATCGGCAGCGACGTTGTCTGCATCACCAGCGACGTTGTCTGCATCAGCAGTGGCATTGTTTGCATCAGCAGCGACGTTGTCTGCATCAGCAGTGGCGTTGTCTGCATCAGCAGTGGCGTTGTCTGCAGCAAGGTTTTTCTTATCGAGAGCATCAGTAGCAATTAGGGCGCTCGGTACTAGCACAGTACGGCTTCTTGGAGGATTAAGAATAAATTTAATTTTATATGATTTCAGCTTCTCAACGTCAGGAAGTTCTTCAGAATCCTCTGAAGACAAATAATCATAGACACTTGCTGGAACTGAGCTATTTTTCCGGATCTCTGAACCAGATTCTTTAGAATCATCATTGGGTAGCAACTGGCACATCGAATGACAGACGGTGTTAAGCGCAGCGCTAATTTTACTTTGTTGGGTATCGGAAAACTCCCTTTGGGGAGGAGATATGGAATTTACGGAACGGGTGCAAGACGCTTCAACTCGAGCCGAGTGACTCATGATGATAGTGCTCTCGGCACGCTCCTTCTCCGGGGTCCTTGTTTGCGGAAAATCTCCTTCAAGCGATGACTTTGCTCTCAACTTATCCTTGTGTCGCTGATAGGTTTTGGCAGACCAAGAAGGCTTAAGAGGTTTTAATTTAATGCAGGAATCCTGGTATTTTTTCAAAGGTTTACTTTTTTGCAAGTCCAGGAGCTGAAGGGCACTACTTACCTTGGAAGTTTTACATTTCCATGCGTTCGAGCGATAACAGTTAACAACTTTCTTCATGAGATTAGTTTTCCATCGTTTTTTAAGTTTAAGAACAGAATCGCTTTTCAAAGTTTTATTTTTCCACGTGTTAGATAAATCAAGAGCACCGTTCTTTTTTACATTAATTGCCTTCAATCGCAGGCGAGCTCGTTCCTTAACATTTCGTCTCAATCTTCCTACATTGATCGTGGTTGATGGAAGAGTTAGTCTGTCCAATTCTACTTTCAGAACGCAATCAGCAGCCACGCTAGGTTTTAAGAACATAGAAGCTAGGGAACCACTGATTTTCAGAGATGCTAGTCGTGATGGTTTGATGTCAGAACTAGTGTCAGCTGGCACAGTCTTGGCACAATCTGAGTCAATAACCATTTCCGGTGACTTATTTGGATTGTCAGCAATAAGGTCACAGGTTTGGTCTGATGCACTAAGTGAAGTTTCAAGGTTTGGAGCAAGATTAGTAACAACAGCTGGCACGTCAGAACAATTCAGTTCAAAAACATTCGAACTTTTTTCGCTCTCTGTCGAGTTCTTATGAAGCGTTTTAGGGAGGGAATGTTTTTCCAACTGTTCTAAAGCATGGTCAGTTTCCTCGTGAGCCAATTCTGTCTTAGCACTTCCATTAGCCGTTAGTTGGGGCATATTATCCGATTTGCCCACTGAGCAATTTGTGCTATCACCGTAGCTGGAGTTCATTGTGTTTAGAGAGCTAGGATGAGACGTTAAGTAGGGAGCTAAAGAGACATTCAAGATTGAAGGGTCAAGCCAAAAATTTTTCCGAGAGGTATTCTCAAAAGAAGAGGCAAACACTGGTCGACCATTGAAAAGAGGTAAAGTGGAGAGTTTTTTGAAGAGCAACCTGTCATTTTCTTGTGCTTTTAGGCGGTTGTGCATGAACTGGGAAGTATTTTCAGACAGAAAGCTTCTAATTGGCGGAAAATTCGAGTCAAATAAAGCTCGCTCATGGACGGAAGATAGTATGTCATTTACCTTCAGGTTTGAAGAACTAAAATCAGCGTATGGAAAGGAGAGTTTTTTAAGCTTCGAGGACGGAATATTTACCTCTTTCCTTGCAAGCTTCTTGCCTGACGTTGCACATAAATCATTTACTTTCTTGCCATCTCTCACGCCTTTTACTTTAGGCTGACAGCTTTTTGGTTTAGGAACGGCTTTCTTAGAGCTCATATTTCTATCACTATGAGCATTAGCAGCAGAATTGTTACCGAATGGTTGATAAGATTTCCTCAGTACGACGATTTCGTTAGCCATGACTGAAGCTTCAGAACCTCTCGCCAAAATTCTGTGCCCATCTGAGCACCAAAGAAGAGGTATGCTGTCTCCACTTCTCAAACTCTCGATAACAAACAATTTTTTGTAAATACAACGAGTACTGCGGCACGCTCGGGATAAATTTAGTCCATCAAAACTGTCCACGATGATTGGAGAATTGCTGACAGCTGGACCAACCGGATTATCACTGAACTCTTTACATCTCTCAGAGATTTCAGATTTACAACTTGACGATTTTTTCACTCGATTTTTTCCACGTGTACTGGAAGCGGAGCTTTTCTTTGCAGAATCAATAGTTCCATGTATTCTATTCAATTGCAGAGTTGGGTTCCCACTGGTTTTCTCACTGCTCGAAAGTGCAACACTATTTTTGTCACTCGCCTCATTAGTACAGGTTTTTCGTTTAGAATTTAATTTATCGGTGGGCCTGCCAGTTTGCTTCTTTCCACACGAGTTTGCTGCAGTAGTCTTCTTTTGCAGTGATGATAAATCAGTATTTTGCTGCGTTTTTCGTTTAATGACGCTCAGATTCTTTGAACACTTGGGACCGGCTTTAGTAGTATTTTTCAAATCATTACGATCCTCTGAATTGTTTATGCACATGTGCTTGGAATTAATCACATTTTTACTTGCAACTGGCAAAATTTTATTATTACTTTTCAATTTAGAATTTCCAGCCTTTAAACTAGAATTTTTGAGGTCACACTTATTAGTTGTTCTCGCCCCACTAACCTTTCGATTCGAAGTACCGGGACAAAATTTTTTAGATTTTGTATTTTTCAAATTTCCGTTACTGATGCTGCTCATTTGACTTTTATCTTCATTGATACATTCATTATTTAGCTTCATTTTAGGAAACCGGGCAAGTGCAACAGAGAGTTCTCCCGTTTTGATGACATCAATAATCCCGGAGTTGGAGACACCCAAATTATTGGGAGCAAGTTCGTCACTTTCAACCCATGCATTGGTATAAGAACAATAGCACGGGGCATCTATTTCATTTTCCATGTCCTTCACACGACAATCAGTGCAATCACAGATACAAAACAGTCCGTTTCCTTGACACTCGAGCAATGATTGGCAATTTGAGACTTTCGGAGGACTTGGATTCATGTTACCTTTGCCATTAACAGAAGCATTAACTCCATCCATTGAAGGAACAGAACTAATGTTATTAGAATTTACCAATTCATTAGAATCTAAACTTTCAATAGGTAATCCACGGTCGATCCAAGAACTGCAAATGGAATCCTCATCCCAAACAATTTCACCGTCGTTGTCTAAATTTATGTTGAAATGCGATAGAACACACACTTGGGAGTCGAGCTTGCGGAGAATGCTAAGAATTCGGGTCATAGGTGGAAGTTCTTGCCAAGTTTCTCTTGCTTTTTGCCTTTTCTTAGACAAATTTTCATCAACATGCTCTGCTTTCCATTGATTATTCTGGTCATGAAGTGTCAAGACTTTTCTCGATTCAACAGACGATTCCTCAGTTATCTTGGATATTGTTTGTAATGATTGGAGGTCGCATGGAGGGCTTACACTATTTTCATTAATAATACCTGACGGAATAGTAGAATTCTCACTATGAACACATTTAACACTATCATTTTTATCACCAGCAATCATCCGATCCTTGCAGTTCTCAACCACGCACGATGGATTCTTCACTGACCCATGAGCAGGACGCAAAATGTCGTCATCCTTTAGGGCCGTATTGGGATATTCGGTCATCTGCGATTTTCCAGGAAGCCTGTTGGTGTCGGATGTCAAATTACGAGGGGTGTCGCAATCTCGTAATGCGTTACCACAAGATTTGATGTGCAGGCCAATGTCGAGTTTGTCGTTTTCTTCCTGAGCATTGACGCTGACCAGACACCTGATGCGACGAAGCCTGCGCATTGCTCGGCGCCAGCGCAGGCTGCTGCAGCCACCGGAGGGGTAGCGCAGTTGCAGTTCATGCATCTGCCCGCAAAATGTCATGTCAACAAATTCATCAACGTCAAAAATGCGTAATTTTTATGATAAAACAAAGAAGAAGCAATTGCTCCTATACTGCCCCGCGTGTGTAAATAATACGTAAACATGCAATTACTGATGCATACGTATGCAATACAGTATAACCGTAATGTTACGTTATAAAACATATTTCAACGAGAATTGAGAAAAATGCACGGGAATATCACTTAATACAAGGTCAATTTGTCAGCAAAATACCATCATCAACGAAGATCTGAAAAAGAACATAACGATAAACAAGGCATCAGTTTATTTTCTATTCAGAATATGGTTTGTAGTTCAAAAGAATGCCACAATTCATCAGTCGTACTGAAGTATATATATGTAAACAAACGTATGAATTGTACATTAAAAAAAAATAATTTGACTATTGGCAAGTGCACTGGAAGGAGTTTAACACGTCGGAAAGTTCAAAAGGAAGAAAAATCTAAAAGCATCCTAACTTCTGTCTACTGGCAGCCTAACCGTTAGCGGACATACAATACAAATAAGCAAATAGCATCGATGACGCTTAATGTTCACGTAGGCTAAGTGCCGACAAGACTCAGGATGGACCCTGAAGTGATGGTGAGACTCAGAGACTAAAAACAGACCCTAAAGTGATGGTGACACTCACAGACTAAAAAACAGACCCTAAAGTGATAGTGAGACTTAAAGATTATAAACAGACCCTAAAGTGGTTGTCAGACTCAGAGGCTAAAAACAGACCCTAAAATGATGGTGAGACCCAAAGACTAAAAACAGACCCTAAAGTGATAGTGAGACCCAAAGACTAAGAACAGACCCTAAAGTGATGGTGAGACTTAATGACTAAGAACAGACCCTAAAGAGATGGTGAGACTCAAAGACTAAGAACAGACCCTTAAGTGATGGTAAGACTCAAAGACTAAGAATAGACCCTTAAGTGATGGTGAGACTCAAAGACTAAGAACAGACCCTAAAGTGATGGTGAGACAAGTCGCCTTTACACGGAGGAGGCAGTCGGAAGAACGATGCACTGCTGGGAGCTGCGTTCTGCTGGTCTGCACGTGTACCTGCGCAAATAACACATCTTTACTTTCTAAATTCATAAACAAAATTGATGGAAACTTAGGCTGAACCTCAATTGCTCAATTTTTCGATTCATCGGACAGCGTCAATGCTGAAAAAATGGAATGTAGTTACACCTCATGGACACTATACTTACACTACAGCAAAGAAGTTTGAAAAATTCGTCATTTGAAGCATAAACAGCTGGAGTGCAGTGAAAAACTATTGAGTAGTGGTTGTAGTAAGTATAAGTATCATTTTACAATACGCGCGCTTAAGAACGTATGAATACCTGCTCCGCTGGTAGGTTTCAACGTAGTCCGCATCCGGGTATCAGTGCAGAATTCAAGACTAGTCTTTTCATCAGCATCGTTTTTCAGAATTTCCATATCTGTTTCCGTATTTGTTTCTTCATGGGAAATCTCTATACTTGATATCTGATATTCAGTTTTCTTTACACAAGCCTCGACGTTTCCATCCTCGTCTAGTCTTTCCTTTAAAATAATGTCGTTCTCAAGAGCAGCTTTGTTGACAGGAGTCATGAAATTGACATCCTCGACGTGCCTTTCCTCTTGCATACAAGCAGCAGATTCAGGTGTTGTGATCAAGCACAATTTATCATCGTTCTCAGCAACTGAATTACCGTCAAGTTTTTCAGTAGCAAAATTGTTCGAATCCTTGCCTACAGCACCTTCCTTACATTCTAAAGGATTTTGTAATTCTATTTGATTACTAACCGACGATGGTACATTTTTTCCAAATTCACTATTTGAAGACGATTCGTTATCACTAACTTCGAATTCTTCGTCGCCGAGAGTTGGTCCAAACTCATCGCAAGACCAATCAAAAATCGACTCAGAATCACTTGAATCCGTGAAAATCGACGAATCAAAACTTCCACTAGACACATCACTAAGAAAATCAGCCTCAGAAGCATCTGGGGCATGAAAAGAATCCTGGGAAACATCGTCCAGTGAACAGGAGAGCGGGGCGGTCTGGGGGGACGACGGTTTATCTGTCTCATCGGAAACCTTCATGCTATCAGTCGCGCATGCGGGAGAAATACAAGGCCTTGAAGAAAATTCTTCAATGTTCAAAGTTTCTTCACAAATGTTGTTCTGAGAGCCAGAGCTAAGTATTTCCTTTGAATGTCCGAGATTCTTTAGTTCATCTAGGCAGGAACACTTGGTTGGCACGCCTTCGATTGCCTGTAGGCGAACGCATAATATCAAAAAGATCAATTAACATATGGGAAACACCAGAATATGTCGTTTTAGAAAATTTTATTACTGTATTGAAATAAAAAAAGACAAAATACATTTAAAATGCCGATACAGAGGTGAATTCAATAGAAATATTTCAGAGTTTTTATTTTTTATCAAGTGGAACAATGAGCTACATCAACTAAAGTGCAAGGAACAGAAAATAAAAGCTCTGAATGATTGAATGATGAAGTTCATCGAGTGCAGTCATTTCCGGAATTCTAGGGCTTGAACTTTTTCAGGTATTTATTCTCAAAGTCTCAGCTTACCATTTGGACTTAAAATGATCGCGTGCAACACGTATTTTACCGAGGCGTATAAATTCGCAGGTGAGCTCAATCAATATTGTCAATGAAACTTGTTTTTGTTGAGCTTACCTCGTTGAACGTCAGGCTTATCTCTCGTTCAAAATTTGTATTTACCCATGAATCATGAAAACCCAGACAAAAACAGGTAAAACTTCATGGAATTGAAACAATCTTGTATATAGATCCTCAACATCACAAAGCAAGAACAGATCCCAGAAAAACGTATAAATTCACTCACGGAATCGAACAGCGTACGCAGAGGCGTGTCAGCGGCCTGTAATGCTGTGATGCAATGGTGGCAACGTCCCTCACGCTCGAACACGTGATACACCTGAATGGTATATGGATTTATCGTCATCATTAAGCTTTCTCAGGCATTATCATCGCAATATAGTAATTGATTAAGTGATAGGTACATAATATAGTATAATAAACAGCAATAAGAATACATTTAGATTGCCACGCATTTAGGTATGTGACCGCGCAGTCAACAGCACATCATAAGTAATGCTCACCGTATAGCCATCAGGCCGCAGCTTGGCAGATATCGTGGCCACGCCCCCGTGCCAGTAGATAACCGCACCGTCGTAGTCAGGCAGCGCCTCCAGTACCGCATCACCAGCAGCGGGAACCACGGTCGGGAACAGCGACTCATCGTCGTGGAGGGGGGCTGTTAGTGATAGTGAACATAATTATCATTAATAGCGCGATAGTATGGTAACATTGCGTAGTAATTGTGCTGATATTAAATTCCACAAATTTTGAAGGGTTTGAATAACAATAGGTAGCTAATTGAACATCATTGTATGGAAATAAATGGAAGTTAGACCATATTTCAAAAAGACGATCTATATCACGAAAGACAATTTTGTCACAAAAGAGAATCTAAAGCACGAGATATAATCTTCAACAAGAAAGATATTCCATATCACTAACACGAATTTGTACAACTCACGTGATTGACTGAGAGAAGTTTCCTCGGCTGCGAGCTCAGTCTCGTCGTTCACACGACTGAGTTCCGAACCTGTTGGCTCCCTCACCGGTGTCGAGACACCTTCACCAGATGGGTCGTAATTTTCTTTATCAACGACATTCTGAACAATGTCTGAACTAAGATCTTCTGAGGTTAGGGTCGGTGTTCGACGGCTTCTTCTCGAAGAACTAGATTTAAAGGAATGTTCAGGATTTTCCAAGTTGGAATCATCAATGCAACGAAGATTCAATGCGGTGAGCGAGTCTGATGATGGTAATTCGTCCGTTGTGTGATCGGCAATGCGGGACGCATCGCCAGAATTAAGCTGCTCTCTTGTCGTATTATCACAAACGACATCATTAAGATTGGTAAATTCTCCATCACAAAAGTGCACCATATCGTCGATACTGAAGATTTTTCCGTCCACTACGACGTCTTCATTTCCGATATTGAGAGTGCAACCTTCAACACGAATTTCGTCGTTAACCTCGCGATCATCAAGCGTCTCACGAGGGTGCACAGACTCATAATCTGAGGCGGTACATGATTTCGCTTCTGTGACACCTAGAGGGGCCACAACTCCACTCGACGAACTATTATTGCTGCACTCCTCTGGTCTTACTTGGGGGTCACTAGCTGAGGTATTCTGGTCACTGGGTATGTCGTTCTCTCCTGAGTGAAGCTTGCGATCAAGGGTAGATAATTTAGGCGTTATAACGGAGGACTTCTTTTTCCCAATTGTAACTTCATTGCAAGCATTAGTCTCTTCGTTGGTGTTCAAAGATGAAAATTGTTTTTTGGTGTCTTTGAACTGCATCCCGGATTTGCTTTTGATAGAGCGTTTGGATGTTGGTTTTTTCGATTTGCCAGTGTTTTTAGGACAAGTGCTTCTATTTTCACCATAAGAACTCTTGGTAGATTTCGAAGCATGAGTGGAGTGCTCAGGGGCGTTAGAACATGACAGGGTTTTCATAGAACCTAATAAATTTAAAGATGTTACGGGCGATACCTGCTCCTCATCTGATGCAGTAAAGAAACGATACTCATCACATAAGGTATTCGAAGATTCAACATCTGCTGCCCTAGAGTTTGAACTTGCAGAAATTATTCCTTTCCTGGGAGATTTTAGACCATCGCCGCGCTGTGCTTTACTTAACTTTTTACCTCTTTTAGATGCATTATCAAGCTTATTTGACATGAATTTTGTCGCTCTGGAACTTCGTTCCGAGTTTCGGCGAGGACTTAGTATAGCCCGAGCGCTGTTAGTGCGACTTATTGACGCTCCAGCAGAGCGTGAGGGCAATGTCCCGCCATTGGTCCGTTGAGAATCTTTAATTGGAGATTTTGTTTTCAATTTTGAAGCGATTTTGGAAGCTTTTGATCCGTTTACTATCTTTGCCACTGAAGACTTGCCATTCCCATTCGAGATGCGGTATGTTGCTTTTGAGGCAGGATTTTTCGACTGAAGTAGTTTTGGTACATCACGCAAGCCAGATAATTGTTTGATAGTTTTATCACTTACGTTCGCTTTGGAAGAATTTAGGGAAGATGAGGATAATAGAGCACTGGATTCTTTCTCGATTTTTTTATCGATGCTTTTAGACAATTTAGAGGGAGGTTCTTCACTACAATTAGGTGAAGTTATAAGAGGTTCGATGCCACACTTAGATTGATCAGGTGAACTTTGCTTTTTACTTAGATATGCACGAGCGAGAGTTCTTTCAGAATGCCTTGTTGGTGCAGAATTGGAATTTGCTGGTGCAGATACTGCGCGCACACCTTTGCAACTTGATTTATTTCGACGTCGTGTTAGAAATTCTGCACTGCTGCGGTCTCCAAGGCTCGAATCAGTACGCTCATCACTCTTCGAGTTCAGCGACGTAGGCCGAGATTTCATAGAATGGATTGGACCGGCTTTGGCCCCAGGAGGTTTAGGTTGAATTTTCAAAACATTTTCAGAAGATTTTTCAATTCTTTCTCGCGAATCTGCACAACTAGGATCAACATGTACTGGTTTTCTTCGTGTTGTAGAACAGCTTCTAGATACTAAATTAGACTTGTCCGGATTATCCCAATTAGATGAATTGCGAAGTTCCGAGTTATTTTCACAAGAAGATTTTAATGAAACAGGAACTGTTCCATTGTCTGCAGTACTTGCTTTTTTCTCAACTCCCGAAGACGCACGCGTTCGTTTATGAGGTTTCAAAACCTCAGGTTTTGCTGCAGGAGTTTTATTCAACAAAGCTTTAGCTTTTAATGAACTTATTGATGCTTGCTCTGCAGTGAACATATTCAGAGTCATTTGAGGGCTAGTCGAAGCATTCTTTAATGCATTAGACAATGAAGACGACAGCACCGCATTTGCTGTATCACTTATTTTAGGACTAGAATAATTTACTTCTGCGTTTCGTCCGTTTTCTTTAACTTCTAGTTGAGGTTTGTGGCAATTCTGATTTGAAGGCATTTCAGGAAGGGCATATCCACCCTTGTTCAAGTCTTTGGATATTCGAGAGTAACACGGTATTTTTCGGTTTCTCAGAGACCGAAAAGGCCGTCTTAAGGAATCTTCAAATGAAATTTCTTCCTCTCTTCCTGTCTTCAATAATGGTGCATTGGGATGCCGCAGTTTCGGTGACTTGACAAAAGACACGACGGAACGTAGAGATGTAGTAGTTGAACCGAGATTGGAAACGGAGGAAACTTCTGGAGGACATTGAGCTCTATCATCCAAACCGAATTTATCTGCTAGCGGGAGGGTCAAAGAGGATGAACCCAAGTGCAAATGATTGCCAGGTAATGAGGGAAGAGCGGTGGAAGGTAAGGGAGGAGGAGGTACAGAAATATCAGGAAATTGGGCAGGTGGAGGAAGAGGAACAGAAATATCAGGAAATTTAGTAGGTGGAGGGGGAGGAACAGAAATATCAGGAAATTGGGAAGGTGGAGGAGGAGGAACAGAAATATCAGGAAATTGAGTAGGTGGAGGGGGAGGAACAGAAATATCAGGAAATTGGGCAGGTGGAGGAGGAGGAGGTACAGAAAAATCAAGAATCCGAGCAATAGGAGGGGGAGGTACGGAAAAATCAGAGATCCGATCAGGATAGGGAAGTGGAGGTGGGCTGAATTCTTCCCACGACAAGTCATAAGCATCCGATGCAAACATTCTAGTTGGTAGCGCAAGCGACGTTATCTCATTTTCTTCCGTTGGAGTAACTTTGCCTTCGTTTCTGGCATTAGCAAAATAATTAGAACCTCTACCAAACGAGTTAAACGTTTCATATGTGATGCTTCCTATATTAGTGTCATGGAAAGATGGCGATATGGTGTTCCTTGGGGCATCTAGATCAGCCGGCAAGCATTTGCCAGGTAAATCGTAACTGGAAATTGTATGAGCATTACTAGACTCATCAGAGGAACTGTAATCCACTAGAGGTTTGCACGATGATACAAGTGCTTTTGGGCAACTTCGCTGCTTCATTTCGGTTCTGGATTGTAAGTCTAAGACAAGTTGCCGCTCATCAACATCAAAGTGGTTATGCGAATCGGTATTACGTGAATGCACGTTAGTAGTGTTGAAATTTTGATAACCTCGCTCATCTGTATCACACGGAGTAGAGCCAGCTGCAGAAAATTCTTTTCTATCAATAGAACATTCAACAATGTTTTTAACTACCCCACTATCTATTAATTTTCTTTCATCGGCATCACTTTTATTATTGGATGGCTTACTTACTTTACAATTCTTATTATCTGCCGTTGCCGGTGTTTCAGGCTGGTTCACCCCGTCAGATATAAATGGAATGAGGTTCTCAGGTTTCTCTACTGGAGGAGGAGCATCAGCTTTGGCCTTGGTGGCCAGTCTGCCCCAGCGGGCGTAATTTTTATTTATGGTGACATTTAGGAGCTCTACTTCATGTACACTGCTGGATTCATATGCCTCGCCCACGGAACTGAGATCAGATGGGTTGGCAGGTGCAGCATCTTCTTCATTGGAGCCTCGCACCAGCACTAGAGCATCTTTTGGAGCTGAACAGTTTCGCCGAGTTGAATTTTTGCGTGGATTTGTTCCATCCGTTTCCATGGTACTGACAGAGGAAGCATCACGGTAAGAATTCTTTGTATCAGGATTTCCATCTTCGTCTCCACTGCTGACTATGACAATTTCATCAGAGTCCTGTCCGGTACAGGAGCAGTCCTCTTGACTGTCGTCACTCTCATCGTCATCAGTTTCTTCCTCGCTGCTGTCTTCAATAATTTGGATGGACTCATCTGTGGGAGCAGTAGCAGTGACTGTTGATTCTACGTTGGAAATAGCATTTTATTCAGGCTCTAGTTTACATTACTAGTAAATTTATATCAGTCAGCATGCAGAGATCAATAAGGAGCTAGCATATGGTTATTACCAGAGATAAACATTATTAACTTCCATTAACTAACACCAGCCATAAAACATGTAATGATGAATGAATTGTATTCTTGAAAACAGTGATGATCATTGAGAAGTAATAATTAATTAATCCTCAATTTATTTCATCTATTTTTCTCCCTTACAAAGAAAACAGTACAAACACAGAACTTCATTCAGAACTTGTAAAAAAATCCCCAGTTTGAGCAGCTGACCACCACCAGCAAAGGAATGAGTACAATAACTGTGAAATAAAATGGGGCACAAGAAAATAATTTACATTTCCAGAAAATGCTAGGACAGGATGGTACCAAAAAAAGAAATCGTTTTCAAAATATATATGTATCAGCCATTCATTTGTATCAACCAAAAAAAATTATCAACCATTCACTCAAGGTCATTTCTATAAAAATTAACTTACCATCATCTGACTCCTTAGAAGTCATATCATCATGGTCTGAAGTTTTGTCCTTCTTACAAGCAGGTTCATCTTGATTCATATTTACATGTACAATTTTAACCTAATGAGACACTAAATCATATTCAATGCTCATATGAGCAGCTAACTTCAGCAAATACCACTCTGAAAATATTAAGAACACCATTCATTTAAATTAATAATTTAGCAAAGCACATGCTTAACACTTCACAGGGGTTATGATATTTACACGTTTAATTTGGGGAAATATAACCAATCATGAAAAAGTTCTCCATTTCAACACACTACAATATAATCAGTTAACACAATTAACTGAATTATTGTTGTATTTCTTTTTGGTGATTACTCTTATAATTATCACATTTTTTCTGTTTTGAACAGCCATTATATATGCAATATTTTTAATTTGTATCTTGATGGCAATTTTGAGAATTATGAAGAGCCATTTTTGTTTGTACATACTTGAGAGGAGAATCTTTATGGAACTACTACTAGTTGGTGAGTTTAGTTAGGCTTGATCTTTTTAATCACAAAGATGTTTTGTAAGTATCCTGTATTTTACAGCCTGCTAATCAGATTAATTAGCTTCATTTGTGATTTACTTAATATCCAATCTTTATTGCAATTCTTAATTCAATGGCCATTTGCATGCTTGTTATCTTTAAATGCTTTGCTTTTGTTATCAATATCAACAACTTTACAACTATTAAATTACTCGTGCGGTTGGTTTATCATGGTTCTGGTTTTGGCTTATCTTAACAAAGATTTTACTCATTTCACTGCAAATATCGTTTGTTTGTTTCGTTTTTCACATTCTCTCTTGCTGCTCACAACCAGCTTGCTATCAGTTAAGAATCTATTTAAGTGTTATATTGAATCAGTTTTAACATCAAATTTCCTTTCAGGGTTAGTATTATTATCTAGCTGGACAGGTTATTGATTTTGCATTACTTATTTTCCATTTCACTAATGATGAAACATGTGGTAACCCTATCAATGCTCCCTATGCCTTATCCTAACTCAACTCCAACTCAACCAAACTTACCCACACATTAGCTATTCATTTGTTATTCATCTCGCTGTACTGTAAAATGGGGTAACTTTGACCACTTTTTTTCAAAATGATGCCATTTTTATACTAGATAAGTTAAACTTAAATTGAAACATGCAAAATACAGGTCTATATTCTAGCTTTACTCACCATAAATTGCTGGCTCCTGCCTCTCATAGTTTTGATGTAATTTCAAAAAAAGTGATGGTCTTTGTTACTCCAGCTCTTGGGGTTTCTTTGACTGGGTGGTAAAATCAATTTTATTTTTTGGTAAAATAACTCCAAATAACTCCAGGTTGTGGTGCATTGTAGTGGAACTCTTCTAGTTACATATGCAAAAGACAAATTTTAGGAAAGTGTCATAGTTTGCAAATGGGGGGCGCTGCCCCCAAATGGGCGAAATGTGACCATCTAATAGCAGCCGTGATGGGGTAACATTGACCGGTTTGGAAATTAGGTTAAAATTACCATATATAAGACTCTGTAGAGTCTGAAACCTGAAGAAAAAAACATTAATAGGTGTATCAAACATAAAATATGTTATATAGGTACCTATGGTAATTTCAACTTAATTTCCAAGCCGGTCAATGTTACCCCGTCACGGCTGCCATTAGGTGGTCAAAGTTACCCCATTGGGGGGCGGCGCCCCCCATTTGCAAACTATGACACTTTCCTAAAATTTGTCTTTTGCATATGTAACTAGAATAGTTCTACTACAATGCATCAAAACCTGGAGTTATTTTACCAAAAAATAAAAAAATTGGAGGGGGAACTCCGACAGGCTTTAAATAATAGCTTTTTTTCATGGGTCACATTTTAAATTTTTTAACCTATTAGATATGCAAACTTTTTAAATCTTTCTAATGTGTTATGTAGCCTCAGTATTAGGCCTTCAATGCCTATTGACAAAATTTTTCTATGTCAAATAGTTTTTGAGTTGTGGGGGTTTTTGTTAAGGGGACTGGCTACCCTAAAATGTTCAATTTTGGTGTTTTCCGGTTTTTGTGCTCATCCTAAAGCTTACTTTCTGACGCATTGAACGGTACCAGAATCATCCCTCTACAAGGAAAAATGATTTTGTGACAGCTCCCCAAATGGGGTCTGTTTTTAGGGCCCTTCAGTAAAGTCTATGGAATTAATTCGAAGTCTGGACACACTAAAAAGGAACGTCTGACGTAAAGCAGCTAATTATGGCATTATCCGGTGCTTATACGTACTCATCTTAAAGCTTACTTTTTGACGCGTTGAATGGTACCAGAATCATCTTTCTAGGTGAATTTTTACAAATGCAACGTAACGTCGAACAGGGGGCAGTAGTGGGCAGCCTTCAGTAATCCCTATGAGAGTAATTCAAAGGCGGGACCATAAATACAGCCTCCTGTCACCAATGCAGTTAGTGCCCATCATGACAGCGAGGTGAGAGGTGTGCAGCCAGTTGCTCTATGCCTTCCTGACTTGGTTTAAGGCTTACTTATGGTATGTTGGCTACGTTATGACTCTTTTACGTCATTTTACGTGCCGCCCGGCAGTTTTTTGGGCGTGGTGAAAACCTCCGATTGATCTCACGGCAAACCTATCTCCTCCTACAGTTTTCAAGCTACAGCAATGAGACATATACCATTTGATTTGTAAAGACCATACCTATCAAACTGATGACCATTTTTTTTAAATTTCTGTCTGGTTCATTTTTTATATGGGGGAGAAGGGGGGAGGGGGGAAAAATGGGATAAAACGCGCATAAAAAAAAAACTAAGAGGAAAATGAGAAAAATGATCATCAAATCGATAGGTATGGTCCTTACGAATCGAATGATACGTGTCTCGATGTTGTAGGATGATATTTGTAGGAGGAGATAGATTTTCTAAAGTACCCCCTTTTTAGCCATTTTCTATGAATTTCATGTTTTTCTATCAATTTTTTCTAAAAATTCATACGAGCAAAATGTTATTTTTTTTTTACATTTTATGTATGTATGTGAAGTTTCATGATGATCAGGTAATAACTGTAGAAGTTTTTCCGGAGGGTAGCCGGTCCCCTTAAAAAAATGAAAAGTGGTCTTAAGTTACCCCACCGGTCTAAGTTACCCCATTTTACGGTATACAGAATGATCCATGCATAAGCATAAACTTTGAATAGGTTTTAGGCTAAAATTTATGCTCCAAGTCCAAAGGTTTTTTTATCCAAGGTTTTTTATGCTCCAAGTCCAAAGGTTTTAATTTATGCTCCAAGTTTTAACCAAGCTTTCGATTTCAAACAAAAAATGACCAACGAATCATGCTTCTGGCAGCTTCTGTTGACACAGCTGATTACAGCACATTTTTACTAAAGGAGAGCCCAAGTTGCCAATATGTATTCAATGTAGTCTTCGATTGGTACAAAACTAACAAAATAACCTTGAATTTTTTATTGCTAATTTCTTGCATTAGGTAAATGTTTATGATTAAAATTTATCATAGAAGTTGTATCTCCATAATTCCTTGTTGAATTAAAGTTACCTACATAAGACTCATTTACAGATGCCAGCAACAGCAGCGGCAATCAAATAACTACTGTATTGTTTAGTATGATGACTAATAATATAATAATTTAGTATTCTGCTTAGGCACGGTCTCTCAAAGTGTTCCAGCAACATATTTTCCATTACTAATTATTTAGATTTTTTATTTGTGGTGCAGCAAAATATTGCATTGTTTGATGTCACAGGCGACCACGTGTTCATATGTGTTATGTGATGTCACCGCAGGCTCTGCCAGCCAGCCATATGTAAACAAACAAAGCCTTGTACACAGCATGGAAGCAGTAAATTGCATTGAGTTCGATGTTTATTTGTGAATAACATTTTCGATTGTGATATTGTAACATATTTCTGATTGTGAATAATTTTGATTGTGATATTGACAATTTTTTAAACATTTGAACATCAAAGTTCTAACATCATGAATTAGGAGGTAAAAGTGAAAGAAAGGACTGAACTCGAGAGCTAAAACATGGCTGACTGGCTGAGGCTCAACTGATGATCATGTTAGTAAGGAAGTCATTTTATACATCATTGATATCATTCTGAAACCAACATAAGTAACTAAGGAATTTCCCAGTCCAAATCTTTACTGATTTATTTATATCAATTTTGAAACTCCATATATTTCTAGAGGGAGTTGTGATTTGGGCATATTTTTGACTGTGATATTATCGACATTCTTTTCCAACGATGGCATGAACCATAAAGCTTGAAAGAGAAACCAAGGACGGAAGTCAGAGAAGCCTGGGCCCAGAAAGATGACTTGGCAACCAATGAAAGTAAGTCATTGTCATTTTTTCAATCATTGATGGCATTTTGCAAGTGCAATTGAGGGAAGTCATTAAGCAATTTTACAGTTCAATTCTTATTTTTTATCAAAAATTTCAAAATCAATTTTGAAACTCCACTGGGGTCTGGGAGAGACCAAGCTGGGTTTAGACCAGGCTGGGTTTAGACTGCCACAAGTCACCAATTGCCGGAGTGCTTGAGCAAAGGCAGAGTGCCATAAGTACCTTCCTTCCTAGAATTTCACTAGGATTCAATCTTTTTATTTTCTTAATAAATGTGCAAAAACAAGCCATATGATTCCATTATATTGAAAATTCATCACTCATAGACTGCAAGATTTTTGTAAAAAGTACCTACAAAAATTCGAATCCAGCCATCACTAATATCTTTCAAAAAGAAAAAAATTAGACATTGTTGTCTAAAAATTTAAAAAACTGCATAATAAATCATATTTTTTATTCAAATATTTAGAAAATTCTGCCAAATATTTCAGAGTGGGAAATTACCTTAATTTTAGTAATTATCTTATTTGTTCTTTAATAAGTAATTCTATGAAAAGTAATTTTCTTATAACTTATGGTTATGAGCTTGAAGCCTACAAATAATGTCTTAACACTTTACCATCAAATCGGACTTTCAAGTCGCCGTTAAAAAAAACACCGGTTTCCTAAGAATTTCACGTTTTCTTTCATTTTTTCAAAAAATTCACACGAACAAAAAAAGTCTTAGATTTATTTTTTACATATGTGTACCAAGTTTCAAAGTTATCTG